GGGCTAGAAGCAGAGAATAAAAAGTGAGACGGGGGAGGTTTCGACGGATAATATTCGACAGTCGCATGCGCACTGTGGTCAATACATATTCGTCTGAAGGGGGAGGGGTGGCGTAAACAAAGCTGGTCTATCGAGAATCGATATTGCAATATAAGTGTGTTAGCATTATAAAAGGCCAACAACTGTCCTCTCGACGGCAGGTTGATGTACAACTGTTAGTGAGGGGGAAAAAATTCTTTGACGAGTGGAAAACAGTCGAGGGGCTTCAAAAAATGATCGTCCGAAGAACTTTTTAAGCTACTTTTAACGTTTTTTTATCGAGACCCTTATCGAGCCCTTGTGACCTTATCGGTCGCCTAACATAGATGTTAGATATATAAAAGCCTGACCCTCACGACCCTTATCCTTTTCGATCACCTGCAGAAGATTCCACACTGATAGAATGATTCATTTATTCCAAACGTGATTTGTTATCTATTGACGAATAAACATTTGGTGAGAGCGAGTAGACTCTAGCCTCCAACCAAATCCATTCGTTAACAATAACTATCTTTTCTATCAGTGCACCGACTTGATCATCTACCCATCGATACACCTGACGATTATGTCCTCACGAGCAAGTCCAAAAATTTCACCCCCTTTTTTCGTGACATTTGGCATTAAATTTCACGTGCGGAATTCGACAAAGGAAGAATGATTCGAGGGCGTCCGGAAGGAAACTGTCTGGTGGAAGAATCGGTCGTTTCGGCGGTTAACGGAGATATCTAACAGCGGGACACGACATTCTGGAGCCAAGAAGTCGATTCCCACTGCTACGTACGATTTCGGTGGATGTGTTACAAAAGAGGGGGTGGAACCGAGGGGGGCGGGGGGTAAGAGTGAAGGAGCCAGATAGGGGGATGAGTTGGTTGGCCCACAGCCAAAATTCACCCAGACCCGTGAGAATCCTTCTAATTTTCCACTACGACCCTATAACTCATCCCCGACCTTGTCTTCTGTCATTCCCTCCATTCACGAATCATCAGATTTCAGCTCCCATCGTCTGGGATCAAGTAAATCAGGGCCCCCTGGGCCAACGGAGAAATATGAAAAATTGAAATCACCTGATGTGTGTGGAATACACGTTAACTGGAGGGGTACATGCATTTTACGTAACACGACTCGATAGTTGGCACGCTTCCGGCTTGTTTGCCCATGACCACGCAAACTTTTGCCCACTCACCTCCAACTAGTACCCTATAGCCACCAACACGTGCACATTTGGCATGCACAACAGTTTATTTCATTCGCAACACGCAATAGAGTCATACATCTGGAGAGGAAGGAAATATTCAAGAACATTAATGATTCAGTAGCTTGCGAAAAGAAAGTTTTTGCCGTTGGTCACGAGTGAGGCCGTAAATTGATTAAGTTTTTAAAAGGAAAGTACCCTAGAAAATACGGAATTACGGTGGTTTGTTGCAAAGAGATTCATGAGAATGATGGGACAACGAGCTTTTGGGCTGATGTATGCTAATTCCCTTGGCTCGTTATTCTTCGTTAATCATGGAATGATTATTCTTTTATTAAATTTCAGGAGGACGGACCCAGATGGCGTGAAGGCCTCAGTGGCTTACAAATGAAGCGGAAGAAGCGCTCGAGCCCGGCTGAGAGTCGGGCGTATACATTGATCAAGGTATGAATTAAATGGTGAATTATTACTCGGTGATTTCCGGAATTTTTCGGGGTATTCTCGGTTCACTGGGCTAAGGAAAAATATTGCGAACGGAAGAGGGGTGGAGACGCATCATTTTTCTCGTCGTTTTTCGTCTTTCTGTGTCTCGTGACCTCCAAATATCTAGCCATTATTCATTCAACGAGAGGAAAATAAAAAATTTAGGGAATAAGAGTCGCTCCGGCGCTCTTTGCGGTAACTACTGCAGGCAAAAGGCTGTGTCATGTTTACCAGATGGTCATAAATCTGTACCTCACTGCGACGACTAATAAACTCTGAATCATCCGAGTTTTTTTGTGGGATTTGTAGAATGCAGAGAGTATTATAAAAAGTGCAGCTACGGGGGGAAATGAAGAATAGTTTCCATGGCGTCTCTCCAGGAGGCGCTGCGGGAGGCATCAAGAATTCATCAGGATCTCCGGAATTTTTAAAACCCGAGGGAAAAGCTTTCACCAATTTCCTCCAATTTGTTTGGACCATCATCCCCCACAGTAAACTAACAGAATCTGTATGTACCATCCAGTGAGTTAGGTGAATAAAACAAGAGCGATGTGGTCCACAGACACATTGGCCCATAAATCCACTCCCATTTTCGGATGGGAATTTGCATCGGCTTCTGCGGTGTCAACCCCCTCTCCCATTTTCAAATCTATACGCCGACGATACAACCCCCCGTTCTTGACCCACTTTTCATGGCGACAACCTCCCCCCCCCCTAGCCTAACGATCGAAATTGGAATCGCTACCTACGATCACTGACCATAACCTCCTTTCTAAACTAAATTTTTCTGGTGATCGATGGAGAACTAGGTATAGACAACCGGCGTTATCTCTCGAGGCGAGGCACAAAGTTTTAATGAAACATCACCGGCCCGAACCAATTAATCATAAAGAATTCATCATCAATTTTTGTCTATGTAATGGTTTTCTTAAAAATAAATGTTAGTCACTCTAATTTGGGTGGAATTTCAATTATTAGTAGAGAAATTAATTTTACTTCAGAAAGAATGGAGTAAAAATCACCTAAAATGGACCTCCTTTAATCGTCAATATCTTTTCATTTATTCATTAAATTGGCGAGAAAAATTGGAATAGATTTCATTTTTCAAAGAATAAATCTTGTTTAAATATTTTCTTCTTGTCAATAAAAAATGAAAATTGTTTAAACTTTAGAGTGGAAAATTTATTTTATAAACCATTTGTGAAAAAATGTTATTTTATCAATTTTCGTCAAAGAGTAAATTTTTTACATTTTTTTAGACTTGAGAAATATTTTCTGACGGTTGAAAATGATCAACTGTTTTCCCTATTTCTTTTTAGTTTTTAGTTAGAGTTCATTTTCGCAATTCCGCAGTTTGCACCACACATGCGGTGGGAACCACGGAAACCGGGGTTTGCGTGTTGCTGTACTAACCCCGGGATTTTCCACTAAATCATGCAACTAACCACTCTGCTTTACTCTCGAGTTACAAAAAAAAATTATATTGAAACAAGAATAAACGAGGCATACGTGGATTTAGCGCTTCGAAAAATGTAATTAGAGTCTCAAATTTTACTCTATCTCAGAAACTAAATTGCGGCGTGTATTGCACACATTTTATCTCGTCCCACAGACCGATATTTCACTGTTTATTCTCCAGGTACATGAGCCATTAAATCTGAAATGATTAAATCTGGCCCATTTGGGTTTTAACGACCGCGGCAATTTTTCTCCCGCGTAATCGCTGAAAAGCCCATGTTGATTGCCTCAATAACACCGAAGATATTGATAAAATGACGGGAAAATGTCTGGGGCCGCGTAGAGAACAGTAACTGCACTTTAACTCCTTATTGATGCATAAGATTTTATTTTTTTTAAATAATTGATCAAGTTTATTCTCAGTGTTGGAAAAAAATCGAAATTTCATGGACAGTTTGACTGGAAATTTCCAGGAGAGGGACGTGAAAGTTTATTTGGAGACTAGGGGGCTTCGCCCCCTGTTCGCTTTGCTCGTTAACTCCTGGGGGGGCGTGCCCCCTCGCTCGCTTCGCTCTCCCCCCCCTCCCAATCTTCTTGGGTTTGTTTAGGTGTTCGCATTATATAGAAAAAAATTGATAGAAGGATTTACTTCCTTTGAAAAATTGCAATTTTTAGTATTCACGAAAGGCTGCAACCGACGTCGTTTGTCGTGAGATTCAACTACTTATTTTTTAAAAGAGATAGAGTGAAAAATTAATTCTCAATGGGATCATCAGGGCCAGAATTAGGGTCATAGTAAGGGCCTGAATCGCGGCGTCTCCTGAATTTTTAAACTTCCTGAATTTTTCATTGCATAGAGAGAAAAAAAATCATAGAATTTCAGATTTCACTAAAAATTCAACGAAATTTCAAAATTTTGAGCATCTGGAAAATTGACATTTTCCAACTTACGTGAATTTGCAATAAAAACGTGAATGTTTAGTACCGAATTACCCCGAATTTTAGGTCAATTGAACATTCAAGAATTTATTTACTTCAATTATCGTAATTTCTATCAATTTTTATGGAATAATTCAATTGAAATTTAACAGTTTCCTCAGTTTTTCCTGACAATTTTGAATTTCCAATGCAATTGCTCGAAATTTCAGTGGAATTATAATGCGATAAAAATTTCAACAGCAATAGAATACTAGTGAAGTTTCCCTGATTCGAGCAGTAACAGATATTTGAACGATTTCCGATTCATATCGAGCGTCCGAAGACCGAGTGTCACAGAAATCCCATTCACCGTTTCACGGAGGGGTCGGAGTTATTCCCAATAAATAGATTCAACATCTTTTTTCGATCCTCAGAGTTACCATCGGGACCGAAAAAGTGGAAGAATTCCGATCTGAGGGTTGACTTGGAGCACTCGGGAGTGAAACTCGAGAGTCGGAGCGGTAAAACAAGCAGTATCCGTCGGAGATATTGCTTTAGTTATCATAGCGTTGACCTTGGAGTTGAGATTTGGGGTGAACTGTGCTGGGAAATGAATCGGGTCATGTTGTTTCGTTTCAGCATAAAAAATTTCCGATAAATTTTTTGAAAATTCATTAAGAGACAGTTCCACTAAGATTTCAGGAAATTTCGTCGTTGAAAAATCATAATTTGAAGGGAAATCGTCGTTTCTCGTGACAAAAGTCAAGAAATTCTTTCAATATTCTTCAGGAATACATAAAAACCCTATTTTTCCTCATCGGACTGAGATTTCCCCCATTCGAAAATTATTATTCCCAACACTGTCACGAGCTAATGAATAGCCAAACGTATTTTCACCCGAAACTTCAGATGAGAGCTATTTCTTCCAGCACTCCAAAGTTTCTGTAACATCACAAATTTATACCCCCACATTCCAATAAATCCCCCCTAAATTCAATTCACAGCGCGCACGAAAAATCCTCAGCCCACGGACTCCTGCACATTTCGATTAGCGAATAATTAATAACCGCGATAACATATTTCCCTCCGAAAACTATTAATATTCATATATCAATGTATCTGCACTTAATTTGCAATTTATATGCGTTACCATGCCAAATTCGTCTGACCGCAGGCATCACTGGTAATATCCAACTTTTATTCAACCGCATGAAACGCCAATTTCAATAGTCATTCACACCGGAATCTTACTCCAAGAACTATAGTCTTTTTCAAGCAAGTGGAGTAAAAGTGCAAACCACTTTGATCTCAACTGCATTGTTACAATACTTCCCTCCCCGGAGAAAATATGAAATTTCATCTCATTTGTTCTCACGTGCGTAACATTTTTTCCACTTTTTCTGTTACAGAATGCACGGGAGGAGGAGCGTTGCCGTAGAATTGAGAGAATAATCCGGAGTTTTTTGCCCAAGGACATGGAAAACAGGGAACGATCATATGAAACGTATCTGCTGATGCAGTTCTGCCTGGCACTCAGCAAGGTACATTTTTTTTCCGGGCATTTTCCCCTCCTCTCGTCGTGAAAAATCATTGTTCGTTGGTATGAAGTGGCGGATTAACGATTCAACTGGAGCAAAATTTTTTATGAAATATCAAATTTGAAATTTTCGAAACACGTGAGGTCAGAGTAAAATTTATTTATTTGTTATGCGTAAATTACGATAATTTTTTCTGCATTTCATGTTTACTAATCCGTAGTTAACAATGAAGGAAAAACAAGTTATTTTAAGCGTAAAATACAATAGTTTTTTCATAAATTACCTATAATTACGTGAAATACGTTTCTATTAAGATCATAATTTACGATTTCTCAATCTTGAAATACGCTCAGTGAAACGTTTTTATTTTGATTGCAAAATACTCCCTTTTGAATCATAAATTGTCATTTTCATGACACGTGAGGTCAGAGTGAAATTTATTTATTTGGCATGCGTAAATTATGAAAATTCTTTCTGCATTTCATGTTTACTAATCCGTAGTTAACAATGAAGGAAAAACAAGTTATTTTAAGCGTAAAATACAATAGTTTTTTCATAAATTACCTATAATTACGTGAAATACGTTTCTATTAAGATCATAATTTACGATTTCTCAATCTTGAAATACGCTCAGTGAAACGTTTTTATTTTGATTGCAAAATACTCCCTTTTGAATCATAAATTGTCATTTTCATGACACGTGAGGTCAGAGTGAAATTTATTTATTTGGCATGCGTAAATTATGAAAATTCTTTCTGCATTTCATGTTTACTAATCCGTAGTTAACAATGAAGGAAAAACAAGTTATTTTAAGCGTAAAATACAATAGTTTTTTCATAAATTACCTATAATTACGTAAAATACGTTTCTATTAAAATCGTAATTGACGATTTCTCAATCTTGAAATACGCTCAGTGAAACGTTTTTATTTTGATCGCAAAATACTCCCTTTTGAATCATAAATTGTCATTTTCATGACAGAAAAAAAAGTTTAACAAACTGCAAATTACACTTAGCGAAACGTAATTTCCATTTATGTTTTCCCGTGTGTGAAATGACGTGAGATTCAGAAGGGTCAGGAGACATTGAAATAAAAAAAGAGGAAATGGTCCCTCCCTTTTCAAATAAAATAGTACTATTGAATTCCGTTCCAGATATACCCAAGACAAAAAGATCTCTACAACTGGGTGGACGTGGACCAGCGTGTCTACGTGCCTTACAATCTCACGTATCTCCAGGACAGTTTCGGTTATGTAAGTCTATACGACATTAACAAACAGCATGATGATGCATCACAGCGAATAGCTCGTATTATTCAAATGGTTGATCCTCGGTTAGATAAGGTGGGGGACGCTGCTCAATTCCACACTGAGTAACAACCCAAATATGATGAATTTGTACAATCGTGGATACAGCAATGATGAACGCCTGGTTTATGTGTACGTAACAGCGCCGAGGTACTTCAGGAGTCTCGGTAAACTGCTCAATCAATTTTCAAAACGGTGAGCTCATTTTAGAATATTTTCGCGAATCGATAATATCCATTACTCATTTTTTATTATCCTAATAATGAGCAATGAGAAAAAAAATAGTTGAGTGAATGAATGAATGACATTCATCTTCATTAAAAATGACGAATGAAAAATAACGCAACGAAATTTATGTTTCACTATCATTTTAGGGGTTGATGGAAAAAATATGAGTTCATTCAAATTATGTGAACAAATTATCCATCAGCACAACTGTTAGATAAATCGTAATCGATCGGGGGATGTATGAGAAATTTTTCTCATTGAGGAAAACAAAAAGATTGAAAAATGGTCGTATAGCATTGAGATTAATGCATCGCGTGGAATTTCCAGAATTGATTCTCCAGAATGGCTAGTCATTTTTTCCGAAACATTGAATAAAACTTGACTATTAAAGTTTGCATCCCGTATTCCACGAACGGGAGAATCATCTCCAGTGGCACAACTTAATGGAGTGCATGCGCATTCAGAGCCAAAAAGCTCATCTCAACGGGTTTGCGTTATAAATTATGCAAACATGTACATGCGAATTCCTACTTGGCAAACCGCAGACATTAATTTCAGCTGATTTCATCTCGGTTGGAATTCAAATCGTTTGGTTCAACAGAAAAAAAGAGTTGAATATATTCGAATAATGTAAATCACAGTGTTGGACTGTACGTGAATGAGAATCATGATGATTTTTAACTTTCAAATGTGAATTGATTTCCTTAGAGTCGAGGTGAACAAGGCGAAAACCAGTAGTTGCCATCGGCCAGGGTAATTATTTTCCCATGGATCAATTAGCCTTATCAAAACACCAACTGCCATCAATAATTCTCAACATAAACCCTCCGTCATGAAGCTGGTGGTACCAGCAAGCATTGCCCCTATGTACATATCCTCCTGCCCACAGGTGAACCAAATAAATCAGACGGTTTTCGGTGTTTGTTGTGTTTTGTGCTATTAATTAGCGAATGAGAAATTATGAGAAGTAACAATATGTTGAAGCATTGGAGTGGTTTTAGAAGATGTGCCCAGGTAGGAAACAATTTTTTTAATTTCAATTCTGGCCGAAGTCGACTTTCCCCCTGGAAAAACCGAAAATCTGACCCTTTGGCTGCGGGTGAAAAAAAAATTTTTCTATTTCGACATTTGTCACGCCTCCGAGGGTTTCATTGACGTTCGAATCGTCAGTAGATACAGAAACATTGAGGACAATGCTTGGAGGACAATTTCCCTCATGAGGTAGATTCGCTGTCAAAAACAGAAAAGGAAGTTCTGGCTCGATTTCCGTGGATTTCATCGCTCTTAGACTTCACAATTCCACAGAGGCCAGTTTTGCATGCCAAAATCCGTCAGGGGTTTCCAGGCTCAGATGCTGTAAATGCCGCGCGGCCGTGGGATTTCACCCAGATTCTAGTCCTAAGTGATGATGATATGCGTGACACGCCTGAGGGGCAAAAGGAATAAGCGTTTTCGATCGGTTATAATGAATCGTTCCCCCTTGTATGTACAATAGCCAGGATGAAATACCACTCTTGGATAAACCACTAGCTTCTCATTGCCATCCCAATGTCACTCCGAGACCATTATCGTCGAGCCAGACAGCCACTGCCAGATGCTGCACCTTGGGCTAATTACTCCACCTCCATAACCATTCAACATAAATAGTCCCGAGTAAAATTCAAGTAATGAAGGCCGCTTTAATGAAAATAAAAGAGACTATTTCATTTCTGGTGCACCGAGGCAGACGAAAAATTCACTCGTTATTTCCTTCAATTAAAATTACTATTGATCACTAGCATTACCGCAGTTGATTAAACATAAACGAGGAATTAGTCGGTTCAATAATCAATTCACTTATGGAATAAACTCGTCAGCGCCATATTGAATTTGAATTATTCGTTAAACCTGGAATACCGACGTTTTTACGACTAATGTTACATTATTGTGTCAACCCGAAAAACAAAGGAGAATATTCTCTCTCGTGACTTCTAGTTTTTCAACAAATTCTGTTCCAGAATTGATAATTGTTTCCCCGTGAATATTTGGCGCTGTCCATCCATAATTTCCCGGATTCTATAGCTCCAGTTTAAGCTAATTAATTATAATTAATGCCTCCCCCCCGATATAGGATCGTTCATAATGGCCTGCTGCTGCTGTATGCTGTGGATACACTCCACGACATTGTCAATGTAACAGCTAGCGATAATTGGAATGTCTCCTGCAGCAAGTTGACGAGCAATCTTTTCGCTGAGGCTGTTGGTGCTGTATATGTCCAACAGTACAAACCCCATCACTTGGAGACACTCGCAAACAGGGTGAATTATCAATCTTATTAATGATACAACATCAGTCCTAATGACGGTAATTAGTGTAGCATTAATTTACGTGATGCATTATCTGTGGTTCAACAAGGTTGAGAAATTGTTTGAGAGAATAAAAGAGACACTTGCTGAAAGGATCCTGGTGATGTCATGGCTGGACGATGAGACCCGTGCACAGGCTCTACTAAAGCTCACCGAGTTACGGGGAAAGTTTCACGTTTGGCCTGGTTTTCATAACGATACACTTCTTGCTGGGGAAATGGCCGGGGTAAGAATAGACTTGTCCTTTGTCATTCGGTTAAATATTCATTTACATCGTTTTCCTCAGGTTATCATTGAGCCCGACAATTTCTTCAAGAGTGTCATTGGGAGATTTCGACAAATACGAAGGCTCCAGGGACTAGTTTTACGGACTAGCATTAATGATAGGTGGCGGCATCCTTATGCTGTTAACGCGTATTATGAATCATCTACTAATTCAATAGGTGAAGATTTTTTCGATGAAGATGTATCAACCAGAGATCGGCAGATGAATAATATCCATTGCTCATTTTTTTCATTATTCTATGTTCCTGTTTATTAATGATTCCTCGAAGAGTTTGATGTATATCATACACTTCTCCGCCTTTCTTACGTCCTCGACTCTATTCTACCTCGAACCTATCTTTCTCCCTTTCAGACACCCTCACTTCACCGCGCGCTCGTTCTCCTAATCCGCGCCTTTGTACCACTTTCTCCTCTTTACCTCTCTCCTCGCTCTCCCCTTCCGGTTCCTGTTTCACTTCTAGTCACGGAATTCCCTGGCGTTCAAATTCACGAAAAATTGGACCCCTCAACTGGACTCGAACGTTTCTCAAAAGGCAGGCGCGTTACCGAATGAGCCAAGACATAATGGCACGTAATTTATTTCCCATTGTCATCTTAATGGTTAATAAAATGAAAAATTATGAGTTTGTCCATTTTCCGAATAATGAAAAAATTTCGCGTTCAATGAATACTATAAAATATTCATTTATAATTAACAAGTGATGAACAAACAAAAATTAGAAATATAATTGCTCATTAATAAAATATTATTCTTAAAAATCTGAAGATATAAAAAAATTTCGCTTTTAGTCACTGAATTGCGCTAAAATTCACGGAGAAACTGCCGCTCGTAACTGGAATCGAACCAGGTCCGTTCCGAATGTCTCTCAAAAGGCAAGCGCGTTACCGAATGAGCCAAGACATAATGGCACGAAATTTATTTCCCATTGTCATCTTAATGGTTAATAAAATAAAAAATTATGAGTTTGTCCATTTTCCGAATAATGAAAAAATTTCGCGTTCAATGAATACTATAAAATATTCATTTATAATTATCAAGTGATGACCAAAATAAAAATTGAAACTACAATTACTCATTAATTCTGTAATGAATTGCTTAAAATTCGAAATCACTCATTTATGATGCAATGAGAAATGATTTCTTCTAGTACTCATTGATAAAAAATATGTTTTCGGTGAAGGGAATAAAAAAAATATTATTCCCGATCTCTGGTATTAATGACCTGAATTATCATCACTAAAATATCGCAATATAAAAAAATCTCATGCTACGAACCCCATGATGTCTTTAACCGATGAATTTTCTCGAAGTAATACCACTCGCAATGATGACTGCCTGGTCATGGTCTTGGGAGGGTGGACCAGCCTACGCTGCCCACGCAACCCTGGGCTCTGTGATTGCTCACGAGATACTTCATGCCTTTGATCTGCATCATCGAAGATTACCACTCGATCCCGATATCGGTGTTGAGAATTTTCTTTGGATAACACCGGAATCGTGGAATCGTCTGGAAACGAAAATACAGTGTGTTGGTAAACTCTACGCCAAGAGATTTTGGAAGAAAGTTCAGTTTTACGGTGATCCCGTGGATGTTCAGGTGAAAACAGCGTAAAGTTCTTCATACCCCGTTTTATTTATAGCGATACAATCGATGAATTCAATTATTCATTGCAGTTTGATTGGAATGTCACGAGGAATGAGAATGTCGCTGACATTGGTGCTCTACAAATATCCCATCAGACGTGGTATACACTAACTAACGGTAGAGACAGAACATTGCCGAGTCTGGAGGGACTGCGTCCGAGCCAGCTATTTTTCATAAGCGCCGCCCAGACTTATTGTTCTAACATGACTGCCGAGGCCTACATCCTCTCCGTCGAGCTCGACTATCACACCCCTTATCCAGAGAGGTATTAATTTGTGTTGTCGTTCGTCAGAGAGGAGAGTTGCATTGTCTTGAGGGGTCTTGAGGTGTCCTTATATCGTGGGAGTGGATGATTTGTTAGATTTTTTTAAATTCTACGTTTACGTGTAGATTGTTATGTATCGGGACTTGATAAGGTGGTAATCTGAGTTTAATCAGAATTTAGTCGAGGTTTAGTCGGGACTTGATCGAGGGTAAGTTGGGGTTTAATCAGGATTTGATCGAGGTTTAGTTGGGATTTAATCAGGGTTTAGTTGGAATTTAATCAGGCTTTAGTTAGGATTTAGCCAAGGTTTAGTTAGGGTTTACATAGCGATTTTTATGATCAGAACTTAAAGTTTTCATTTGGGTTTAATCAGAATTTAGTCGAGGTTTAGTCGGGGCTCAATCGAGGATAAGTTGGGGTTTAATTAGGGTTTAGGCAGGATTTGATCGAGGTGTAGTTGGGATTTAATCAGGCTTCAGTTAGGATTTATCCAGGGTTTAGTTAGGGTTTAATCAGGCTCTAATCAGGCTCTAGTCGAGATTTAATCAGGGTCTTATTAGGATTTAATCAAAGTTCAGTGCTTATTCGGGAATGGGGTTTTATGAGAGTTTAGTCGGATCTTAGTGCAGATTTTAATCAGCTATTAGTCTGGATTTAGTCAGTGTGTAATCAGGGTTGAAGTTCCAATTTTTCAGCCATCGAAACGAGACCGGACTCTTTCAAATCGTATCATTTGGAAGATATTGATGAACATAATCAAACTAGCCCATTAGTAACACTCTAAAAAAATTCTTTGAACGCATTTTCAATGAAATAAATTGCCGTATTGTCACCAGGGTTAACGTCGTTATGATGAATTCGCCGGCCTTCGCCGAGGCCTTCCGTTGTCCCGCTGGTGCACGAATGAATCCACCGAACAAGTGCAGCACGTGGTGATTTAAATTTCACTTGTACCCAACACGGGACCACTATTATTATTGATGAAAAAAAATGGCTTATCTCAAACGGTGGTTTGATGGATTGACCATTTCCTGGAGTGTTGGCTCAAATTCGCGACGCCTTTTTATTAGATGATTCACGCCGCGTCCACGGTGAACATTGATTTAACTTCCATTGGTGATTCCAGGGGAAGGGCGATCCGACTTTGATCTGAGTCAGGTATATATAATCGATACAAAAATAAATCGAATGAAGTTCAATGAAGTTACGGTCTTGCTTTTGTTTTCAGGAGAGGAGAGGATCGTTGACGAATAATGGACGCGACGATGGGTCGTTAGGACGATAAGCTTGTTATAGAATTTTCAAAGTCTAAAGAAATTGGTTGAGAATAACTCAAGATGGTCGAGCTCACTGTTAAAAATATAATTAAATTAATGAACTATTGTAAAACACAGACATGTATACATACACACTAACATAACACGTCATTAACGTTTAAATTCCCAGACGAGGCTTTAGAAATTGAAGGTGAAACGTAATCGATCTTTCATTAATTGAATTTAGAAAGCCAGAATACATGCCCAAAACGAATGAACACTTGTTTTGAGACTTTCGCTGTCTTATTTCAAGACTTGAAATTTCAAATCGAGTTTATTTATTTGGGTGCAGCTTTGGTTCAGTCACACGCCAGAAAAAATTAGTCCTTTACCTGTGATTCGATATTTAAGGAGAGGTTCAGCCCAGGAAAAAACATTCGTTTTTCGAGAACAAAAATTGATATTATTTTCTGCGTGATTTTTCTTCGGGAATCTGAGTTTTTTTTTCATTGAAAAATCAACTTAACAAAAATCCTCAACGGTTTTTTAAAAATATTTTTTTAATATTACAAAATTTTTCGCTCTTTAATTATAAGAAATGCCGGCGAAGATACATTTTGAAGTTTATTCGCCCATCAAAATTTTTTTCTAAAAGTGAAGAATTTTTTTTCCGGTAATGGACCTCCCCTTAATTTGCGATGATAGTAGCCAACGACGTGAGAGTAAAAAATTGAAATAAAAACCCGTACGAGCAATTTAAAATAAAATCGAATCAAACTAGAATTAAGAAGATTGAGTTATATCCTTATTAAGGCATCTTATGGAGTCCCTGTCCCTCCGACGGAACGGCCGATAATGTTGTTTGTAGGATTAAAGAATGGAGATGGGTTTAAAATATGTTGAACAAAAAATGATGAAAATATATATTAAAATGCAAGAATCGCAAACTGTGATAGTCTTCGGCGTTGCGCTATTCAATTGAAATTCTATGTTCGTCAGAGAGCGGAGAAAATTTTCTCTTCATCATTTACCGAATTGGAAGTATCTCGGATTAATTAAGAATCAATAAGTCACGATTATTTTGGAACACGAAATTATGGAGAAATGGGTGTAATTGCTGATGACTCGTATGGCTAAATAAATATGGTTTATATAAAAAAATTTGTAGTTGATGTCGACTTGCCCTCATTTTCAGCTTTTTTTTTTGGTGTATGAAATGATGACGAGGAAGGTAGGAAGAGGAGTTACGAGGAGAAGATGCAGCCCTGATGAATCAAATCCAGAGTTAACCCTGGGTTCATGGAAATTTCCCAGTTTCTTTTTCTTCGCTGGGTTTTTTCCATAAACCCAGAGTTAACTGTGGGTTTGGTCTATCAGGGAGAGGATTGAGGTGGAGAGGATCGAGGGCGTTGAGGATTCGAAAGGATCGAGTTTTTTGGAGAGACTTTTAGAGAAATAGTGGTGAATCTGATTGCTCTTCGTCAATGACATCATCCCGTAGGAGCCGAGTGTAGATTTGGAGTTGTTTGTAAGACAAGTACACAGAGAATTAGTCCTGCGCCGAGTCTATTTACGCTTATAAAAAAAACATGAAAAAACCTTCGCATTATAATTTAACATCATTGGTAAACCATTTATTTATTCGTACTGTATCTTACAAAAGAGAACTGAGACTTATAAGAAATAAACCTAATAGAGGTAAAATTAATCAATAATGTCCAGCCCGATCACAAGAATGAATTAATGATGAATGCCTCAAGCCGCCTGCATCTGTTATTTGTCTTTGCGTTGGCTCGTCAGACTGTCGTGTAGATTGGCAACAACAGACGCCACCAGTTCGGGGATGACAACCCCATTGACGTCGATGAAGTTCGCCACGGATTTCGTGAACTGGGCCTCGTTGATGACCCCTGTCTGCTCGTTCTTCACTGACAACACGAGGTTGTACTGATCATCGTACTTCTTGAGGTAGGAGGACGCCTCCCAGGTGCAGTCAGGGTCGTAGCCAGCTGGATCCCTTCAAGAATATCAAGAGCAATTCGCATCAATACTCGAATAATTTTATTACTTGGGAGAATTAAATTATTTAATAAAAACGGTTGAATAATTTCATTAATGCAGAGGTAAATTCATCCTCTCGAGGATTTTCTACCTCTGGACAGCAACGACGAAGATCCCCTTCTCCTTGTACGTTGTATAAAGATTCAGGATTGCCATGAGGATGAAATAAATGGAGACGCAGGTGACGAGGACGAGCCTGGATGCTGGGAATGGGTACAAGTAATCCCAGAGAAGTGCAACACTCGAAACTCCAACGGCTATTCCACAGATCCCCAGACGCATGTCTAGGAGGGAAAAATTCTCGGTGTAGTTGTACTTCCAGATGAGGACGTCCTTCACTGCATCATCCAGGGCGTTCTTCACAGCTGCGCCGTCCCATTTGTTGATTTTCACAGGCTGCAATGAGGATTTGAGAAGAATTCCTTGCGGGATCACGAACTGAGTGACTTAATGCCAAGGGCTTTCCAAGTCACCAGGACCATTCGGGAGGAGGAGGAGTAGGAGGAAGGCATTTGCTCGGAAGACCGAAGGTGAGGAGGAGCTGGGGAAGCTATGGAATCAGTTGAACGAAGTGAAGCTGCTGCTTCGTGATCAGAAGAGGGAGAAGGAAGAGCTGCAGAGGTCGAGGTGTGACCTCCTGGGGAGGAGGAAGGAGCTGCAGAGGGAGGCAGACATGCTTCGTGATGACATTGAGACACTGGTGAACAGAATTGGGACGATTGAACGAAAGCTGCAGGTCAGGGATAGCCATATTCATGAATTATAATTACCGTTAAATTATTAAGTAGTCAGTTCGTTAACATCACTTTTTAATTTTAATTATTGAAGTAATCGTCAATTTAAATATCCAAATTCCGAATTATTTATTAATCAGTAATTTAGGTAGGAAGATTGACGAGTTTTGGATAATCGAAAATCCCTTTCAAGAAATTTAGGATTATTTACTTGATAGAAAATTTACAGTTCCATGTTATCAAATATTTAATTCATCATCAATTGGAAATTTAGATTATCAATTATTTTACTATTTTTTCATTTCGACTGGTGTATTTATACGTTTATCAATGTGAGTCGGAAATTCTTTTAATACTGAAGAATCGGAAGATTGATGGCTATCCCTGCTGCAGGTGGTGGTTAGAGGGGATGTTCTCGAGGGGATCGAGTCGGTGAGGAAGATTCTGGATGACTGGAGGCAGAGGGATGACAGGTTGGACCTTGTTAATGGGGTCAAGGGGATCTTGCTGGAGGTTTTTACCTGCAGTCAGCCTTCGGTGGCTTTTGCCGTGGAGGTCAGGGGTGGCGACCAGCTGTTCCATCATGTCGTGAGGGACAGGCTGGTGATCTCTGAGGTTTTGAGGGAGATGAGGGAGAGGAACCTGGAGGGAATCGCTAGTTTTCTTCCTCTGGGGGATTTTGAGGATCCAGAGGGCAGGTAACCCTCAGGGGTTTTATTTTCGGGAATATTGTTATTGTCAAGGATTAACAACAGTTAAAAAATTATTCGATTGACATCAACGAAGTTGCCTCTGGGTTTTCGAGCCTCTGGTGGATTTTATGGGCTTTCGTGAGGGGAATATTCTTGCTTTGGGTTGTAAAGGGGTTCGAGGAGGGTTTAATAATATTTTAGAGGCACTTACCTGGCTTCCATTGTCCTTAGAATCCTTCTTCGATGCCATATCTACCATAACACTTTGAAACAGCTTTTTGTGAGCAGCAGGTTAAGTAACACGTCAACGATCGGCACGTATTATCATCGGGACGCGATCTAACGGACAAGTTGGGAGGTAACATGTGCAGCTGCACACATGTAAACACAAGGGCTCCGGTAATCGAAAAAAATATATATCTTCGTTTTCGGAAATTGGAGTGATTTAATAAATTCTTCATAAAATCATCTTCAGTATTCGCACAATTGCGGGGGTAAAAGGCTATTGCGGGGGTATTCGTCGTGTACGTGACATTTGTATCATAAAAATCGCGTGGAGCAACCTCTGAGGAGGCTGGAAACCCCAGGATTACGTGAGGATTTGGTCCATGAGATTTTGAGAATAAATTGTTGATTCCTGGCTTTTATTGTTGGGGGGACAATGGGGAATATTGGGGCGAAACTGATGAGGCTTGCGAAGACTTATAATGTTGGCAATAGGGCCCAGAAGGTCATCAGCAAGGAGAAACCGACACCTGCTCCGAGCTATCCGTCCACTGCCCAGCAGATAGAAATTGCTGATCAAGGTGGAAAATTCAGGAATTTTTTTTTCGGAATATCTTGGAGTTTTTACGATTTGTTAAGACATTATTTGACGGAATTCATCTAAATTTAATTTTTTTTAAATTCATATAATTAAAAAAAAAACATTAACTCAAAGAATTAATTGAAATGAATCGTTAATTCGCATTTTTTATTTATCTAAATTTTATTTTTTTAAATTAATTTGATTTCTAAAAACTTTGACTCAAAGAATTAATTAAAATCAATTCTTGACTCCAATTTGAATAAAGTAATAGCAAAATATTTTTTTATTTCATGAATTAAATGTGGAAATTTGGCTATTTGGATTTTTAAAATGAATTGTGTTTTTAAAAAATTCTAGTGAATCCAAATTTCATGAAGACTCATTACAAACAAGACCCAGTCTTTCATGATCGATTGAAACACGTTTACGTGACGTCGAATGCTCAATTCGTGAGTTGAATCAATTTTTTCAATTTTTTTAAATTCGCTATTGGGAGATTTAGTTGATAAAATGATTTGTGGAAATTGTTATTTCAGGCGAGTGAGGAACAAAGATCGGAGAAACTACCACAGAATAAAGAAGGGTCTCAAGCGTGGGATTATGGGTTTTGGGAGCCAGAGAAAGCGCAACAGGGAAAAATCCTCCTGAAGGATGCTTTGAAGTTTATGTCTGACAATACGACTGATCCCGAGAAGAACAACGCGAAAAAGATAGCAAAACAGTACAAATTAGCTCACAAAGACGTCGGTAAGTCTTCAGAATTTTCTCCAACTTTTCTTAAAAATTTATGGGAGAAGCTGGCAAAATGAGCTGTTTTCAATCGTCAATAACTCGGGATCGGCAGAGTGAAATTGGAACATTTCCTTTTCATTTTAAAGATATTTTTTCAGTCTTCAAAATGAGCCCTGACTCGTCCGAATCGTATCGTTGGAACGGGCGATATTGACGATTAAAGAAACTTCATTCTACCTAGTCAATTTTTATCAACTGAAAATTGTTTTGTTTTATTTTCAGAGAATATTCTGGAGTACTACAGAGTCTTCCAGATAATAGTCCCACCTAAGGACACTCACCGATGGAATCTAAAGGTCCCGAGCATTACAGAAATTCTGGGGAAATCTTCAGAAAAAAAAGTTTCTAAAGTAGAATGAGACTATTTTCTTCAGAATTGCGGAACAATTTAAAAGTTGAATACGATTTTTTATTAATTGTGCGATTATCTTGCAAAGCAGTTGTTTTATCAAAAAATATCAAAAGACCTTTTTTGTAGAGGATTCAATTCTCCACAAAAAAGTTTATTGACATTTCCTCCTAAAAACACTCCTTATCGAGATAATTGCCATAGTGAATAAATGAAGGATATTTAATAGCTGTATCAAATATTCTCGCAGAGAATACTGTACATAACGAGTAAGAACTGTTAATTAAATGAATCGTGAATTCAATAATGGAGTTTAATTAATGAAGTAGAAATTATGATCCCAAATCAATCACTAATCTCCTTTTCCTCTCAATTAAATTAATCAAAAAATTCGGTGATGAAAGATCTTGAAATAAATTTATAAACATGACCATATTCGGTCAGAAACTGGGTCTCCAACTGTCCCCAACCGTCTACTATTTACCTTTTTTGCAGAGGATTCGATTCACAAAAAAATTTACTGACATTTCCTCCTAAAATCGCTCTTTATCAAGATGATTGCGTAATTAATGCAAATGCAGATTTACCATAGTGAATAAATGAAGGATATGTAATACCTGTGTAAAATATTCTCGTAGAAAATACCGTACAAGTGGAGTTTAATGAATGAATTAAAAATTATGATCCCAAATCAATCACCAATTTCCTTTTCCTCTCAATTAAAGTTCGAACATGACCATATTTGGTCAGAAACTGGGTCTCCAATTCTCCTCGACTGTTTACCCCCCTAAACCTGCCTCGAGCCCGCCAAAATCTCCTAACCTCAAAGAAAAATACAGAAACCCATATTTCCCAGGTATTTTTGACGATTTTGAGGCAATAATTAGTTTGTAAAATCATTAAACAGTGCCGGCACCCACACATACCCGGAATGATCATCAGGAAGGGCTCCGGGACATCCTCCAATCCGCCACAGCCTTTGCTGACGATTGTCCAGCGTCGACCAATGGGAATTCCCCAGACAAAAGACGAAGAACTGCTGGCGTAAGGATCAGTCACACACGCTCTCGATCATCGCGTGTTGCCTCGAGTATTCCTAGAAGACAATTGTCTGGTTGATTTTCGTGACAATTAATCGTTTCAATTGAATTTTGTAACAAAAAATGTCGACTGTTGCTAGTGCACTGGCTGTTGGCGGCTCCCGGCAATCGGGAGCACCGGTGAGAACACAAAACGGTGAGTTTTTGGGGATACTAACCTCTATGGAAACTGCTCACTCACATGATCGACGATTCTCGAGAGTTGTAACTTTATTTTTCATGATTGATTGAATTGTTGGGGGTTTGATGGATTTTGGTTCTGATTTTTACAGTCATGGCGGCCTGTTCAATCGCGAACATTGTGAAGAGCTCGCTGGGACCTGTGGGACTCGACAAAATGCTCGTGGATGACATTGGTGTGAGTATAGATGATTCATGAATTTAGATAATTTTGAATTGGTCGAGTGATGGTGGATCTGTTCGAACAGCGATTGGTGGTGTTTTCCATGAGATATTGATGGACATTTTGGGGATATTTGAGGAGAGAAGGTGTTTGGAGCGGTTTGTTAAGAGACATTTTTTGTTGACGTTGTAAAACTAGTCATTATGGAGAGGATTCATCAATTCAGAGAATGTTGATGCTATGGAATTGAATGGGCCTTTATGCAATTGTTCACGTTGTTATGTGATTATCTAAATAATGATTGGTTTTACAACAAAATGTCAAGAGTCAGGATTGATAACAAATATGGTCAAACTCCATTGCAAATACAACTGCATGAAATATAAAATCATAGGGATAACAGTCGCCTAGACTTTGTGTATCGATAGCGATCCCAATTGCTCTCGATCTTCTCTCGAGCTCTCCTCATCGAACCCTGACTCATCCCCAAACTCTCTCATCTCAGCACACTCTAATGTCTCTCTTCGTTACCTGTCACTCTCTCACTCGCACCTACACTAATTCTCCATACTCTTTGTCATCCACAATAATCCCTTTGATTCCGCCACCCAGGCCACACGCGTCACCCAAATCCTCCATCTCGCATAAACATTCTTATTTTCCAAACTGTCACTCGCTCCAGACACTTCACATGTCCCACCTCAATTCCATAAACTCAATCGCAAATCTATCGTCTCTATTCAGTCTCTATTGCCTAAAAATCCCCAAAACATGAGTTTAGACCATGAAGAATAATTGAAGAATGATTCGAGTTCACACTAAAATCGTTGAAATATCATCTAAACTCTTGAAAAATAATAGAAAACTTACTCTAAATCCTTAATAACTATTTCAAATCACTGATTTAAAAATTTAAATATTCATAAAAGAATCTGAATAATGATTTCAAGTCATGAGAAATCGTTTGACGCCATAAAAAGTAATTAAAAAGTAATTAAAGTTACGACAAATCTTTGAATCATAATTTAAAATCATGAAAAATCATCAAAAAATCGTTAAAAACCTGAAATATTCCTCAGGACGTCACCGTGACGAACGATGGGGCAACGATCCTCCGTCTCCTGGAAGTCGAGCATCCAGCTGCTCGAGTCCTAGTGGAACTAGCTCAGCTCCAAGACGAGGAGGTGGGCGATGGCACCACCTCTGTAGTCATAATCGCAGCGGAGCTCCTGAAGAACGCTGACGAGCTCGTTAAACAGAAGATCCACCCCACCTCAGTCATCTCGGGGTATCGGCTAGCTTGCAAGGAGGCCTGCAAGTACATTCAAGAGCACCTGACAGTCTCAGTGGATGAACTCGGCAGGGACTGCCTCGTCAACATCGCCAAGACCTCCATGTCCTCCAAAATCATCGGAGCAGATGCCAATTTCTTCGGGAATATGGTTGTCGATGCTGCTAATGCTGTGAAGATCAATGATGGAAAGGGGGGACACTTGTATCCTATCAAGGCTGTTAATATCCTCAAGGTAAATTTTTGGAAAATTACTGAAATTGTGTATTCTATCGTTTTTATTGGTTTTTCAATCATTAGAGGTTTTAGGATTTTTTAAGTTGACCATGCTGAATTTTCGGTAATTGCCCGATGAAAAAAGAATTTTTTTTTGCTAGAATAGGAGAATTAAAAAGAATTTTTGAAGAGAAAGATAATTTTTTAATGCTTGAAACTGTTAAAAAATTCCTCATTGATGATTATAAATTATTTATTTTTCATCAAAGATGATCCACATCTTTAAGAAGAAAAAAAACCTTGGGAAATGAATGTCAAAAGCCATTTTTTTAGAGAATTACATTTCCTACAAAAAATGTCTTCTCACATTTTTTTATACAACCACTTATACTCGGGATAATTTCCTAATAATCCATAAATTTTGATATTCCCAATAACGAGCAGAAGTTTTAAAATTTAAGTTGATCGATCATGTTGAATTTTTGGTAATTGCACAATGAAAAAAATTAAGAAAAAAAAAATTAATTAAAAAAATTAATTTTTTTGGTTTCCCTAGACCAAGAGGATTGCGACATTTCGAATAGAGAAATGATTTCTTAATGATTTCAAATATTAAAAGAATGCTCCTTGCTTATTATAAATTATAAATAAATTATTATAAATTCAGTAATTCCCCTGGATCAATGTATTTCATTATTCTTGATTGAAAAATGTCTCCAGGCACATGGAAAAAGCGTCCGAGAGTCGATCCTCGTCCAGGGATACGCCCTGAACTGCACAGTGGCCTCTCAAGCCATGCCCAAGAAGATAACCCACGCCAAGATTGCGTGTCTGGACTTCTCCCTGCAGAAGACAAAAATGAAACTTGGGGTTGAGGTTCTGATCACCGATCCTGAGAAGCTGGAGGCGGTGCGTCAGAGGGAGATCGACATCACCAAGGAGAGGATTCAGAAGATCATCTCGGCCGGGGCCAATGTCGTCCTGCTCACTGGGGGCATTGATGACTTGTGCCTCAAGTACTTTATTGAGGCTGGCGCCATGACTGTCAGGAGGTGCAAGAAGGCGGACCTCAAGAGGATTGCCAAGGCCACTGGAGCCCAGTTCCTGACTTCCTTGACGAATATGGAGGGCGAAGAGAGCTTCGAGGCTAGCTTCCTGGGGGAGGCTGCTGAGGTCGTTCAGGAAGTCGTCTGTGATGATGAGTTGATACTCATTAAAACGTAATTATGGTGTTTTTATTAATTTTTTTTATTAGTGGGCAGTTTATATTATTTCATATCCAAAATAATTCCTGAAAAATCTAAGGATTTTCCTCTGATTTTTTCAGTAAAAATTTGAATAATTCATTCTCTTGCAATTTTATGGGATTTTTTTAGGGAAATGTCTTACGATGGTTTCTGATGGAATTATTTTTGTGTTGTTAACAAAAATTCAATGTCATCAATTTTAATTTTACCTAAAAATGTCAAGAGACCCCTTTGTAGCTCAAAAAATTACCCAAAAAAACCTTTCAACGCCTTAAACCCCAATATTTATATTCTCCAGCCCAAAAGCACGAACAGCAGCATCAATAATCCTTCGTGGCCCCAACGACTACTACTGCGACGAGATGGAGCGTTCAGTGCACGATGCCCTCTGCGTGGTGAAACGAGTCCTCGAGAGTAAGAACGTGGTGGCAGGTGGTGGTTGTGTGGAGGCAGCCCTCTCAATCTACCTCGAGAACTTCGCGACGTCCCTCAGCTCCAGGGAGCAGCTGGCAATCGCCGAATTTGCCCGTTCCCTCCTCGTCATCCCCAAGACGCTGGCTGTGAATGCAGCCCAGGACTCGACAGACCTAGTTGCTAAACTCCGGGCTTACCACAACTCCAGTCAGACCACTGTCGACCGTGCGAACCTCAAGTGGGTGGGGCTAGACCTCATCGAGGGCGTTGTCCGGGATAACAAGAAGGCTGGAGTCCTCGAGCCGGCTGTTTCGAAAATAAAATCACTGAAATTCGCCACTGAAGCTGCCATCACGATCCTCCGAATCGATGACATGATCAAACTGGACCCTGAGCAGCGAGGCGGGAAGTCTTATGGCGATGCCTATGCCGCTGGGGAGCTCGAGGGTTAATTGAGGGGACAAAATCATCAATTAATCATAATTTTTTACGAAGGAAATTCCAGTTTTCGAAGAACGCCTGGAGAAATTCAGGAGTGAAGTGAAGAAAATTGGAAATATCTCGGCGATGAGGGGGTCTAGGGGAAAATGTCAAGAGGCATTTTTTTTGGAGAAGGAAATTTCCCGAAAAAAATGTTTCTTGGTAAATTTCGATGGACCTCTTCGTTCTCGAGATATTGACGAAATGGTCTGGATGTTTTTAGATTATTTCATGCATTCGTTTTGAAATTTCACTTCACTACTGAATTATGTATTACTTCTGCATATTAATTAACATTTACGGTTAAATTGATCAAACATGCATTTTTTTCATTGATGAGAATGTTAATTTATCACGAATTATCGTGCTGGTATTAACCATTGATGCCTATTTGTGTAAGGACTTCACAGATTACAAATAAATGCTTTTTTTTCACGAGAAAATAAAGAATTGTTCTGTCTTTTAATTAACTAGACGTAAATTAGATATAATTAGATAATTAATTGGGAGGAATTGAGTTTGAGGCGAAGGTACAGCATCATAATTTTATTTTACATACATTCATATAAATCAATTCAAATGTAACGATATTCTCATTATCTTTTTAATCAAAAAATTATGGGGAAAGGAATTTAACACTGATTGGAGGGATTAGTCATCTTTCAGGGGATGATGCAAAGTATGGGGATCATTTCTCCATCCAACACTGGTCCGTCGTTTGATTTTTATTTCTGGATAATTCTAGCCTGCATCTCCCCATTAACTCCAGATCAATCGATTTTTCTTCGTGAAAAGATCTAATCAATTCTTGAAGAACAATTAATTGTTCTTTTACTCTTGATGATGAGATGCAGAGGGTGGGATGGGGCGAACAGAAGTGACATCAGGTCAATTATCCGCTAAAAATCATCTTGAAGGCATCTTTGATTAAAGTGTCTAATTGATTTAGTATTTAATTCATTCAAGAAAATGAGTCGAAAACACATCTAATTCTTATTTCGCGGATATCTCCGAAGGAAATGGGGCTAAAGAAAAAAGTCAGAAGACACTTTTTATTGGAAATTCAATTCTCTACAGAAAATGTCTCATGATATTTTCCTCTAAACCCAATAGTTTTAGAGATATTCACGAATTAATGTTGATGAGAATTTCAACTCATCTCGTTCTGTCATTTCTCTACGGAATTGTCTTTCTCTTTGCAAAAAATATCCCGAAAAAATGGTTTTAATAATAATAAAGAATAGATACTGTCCCTACGGTAATTGTCATTGTCCTTGCCGAATAATTGAAAAAATAGAAATACAAATTGTCAATATTTTCTGCAAAGAGAAAATTCCATCGAATTTCTATCACTCTCGCTTTTTAAATAAAATGTAAAACACTTCCCTTGATTAGTTTTTTGTTTTTTCATAGAAAAAGTGACGGAGAATCTCTCACTCACTCACACTCACTCAATTTATTTACTCACTAATATCTCAAGATAACGCAAAAAACTTCGCACCTATGTTTTTCGAAAAAAAAAAAAGTCACTTAATCCTAGTTGCTCTTCTCATAGAAATATACTCTTTCTTAATATCTATTCAATCATTAAAATACGAAAGAAAAATACAATGAAATAAATATTTACTTCCCAGTTTTCTTTTCTCGTCTGAAAATGTAGATAATTGGGCTCTTAATGTAAGTGTTTCTGGCGTCGTGATATCTCCCGATTTCACTGATGAACAATGTTGTAAAATCGAATTATACAGTTTTGAAGATTTTTTTACAACGATGGATTGTCCCACTTGGGTCCTTTGGTCACCACGATATCTGCGTACGAATATTCCTGGGTGAGCTCCAACACTTGGAATTTTTTCAACACTAGAAGAGTATAAAACTTTTGGGCCGCCTGAAATTAAAATTAACAACACATTAATTAATTAACTAATTCATTACTTCCGAATTTTTTGACGTTAAAATAATTATTTTTTGATTATTTTATGAACATATCAGCAATAAATCAAAGTAATTAATAAAACGAAATAAAAAAATGAATAAAATAAAATAACATGAAATTAAATGACGGAATAAATTTAAAAAAAAGAAATTTACCTGTTTTCTCGAGTTCTTATACGCCATCTCCGCCAGCGTCAGTCTGTCCTTGGTATCCAACTTGTTCTTAATAACCTGATACATATGGGCAGCCCTCTTATTGAGGACCCTCTCCTCGAACTGCTCATAGGTCTCATCGACCTGCTGTTCCTCCTGAGGTCCCACCGACGGTGGGAACTCGTAGTCCTCAGCCCAAGGTGTAGTGGGTCCCCTCTCGGAGACCGCCCCAGGGGTCTGTGCCAGAGGATGCTGATCCTCATACCCAATGAACCCATGATCCCTGTCGTACCCCATGTTCTCCATCTGAGGCATCCCAGTCTCCGCAAAGTCGCTCGGCATCCTCTCCTCCTCATGCACCTCCTGAGGCCCCAGGAGAGAGCTCACCTGCAGGAATAGCCAAATTCATAACATTAATTTATGATTAAATTAAACATGTGTGCATTTTTAATGCGTCATCAACTTCAGGAATTATTTTTAGCAGTTTAGGAAACAGGAATTAATTAGAGAATATTGGAAAGTGCTTTATCAATAAGGAATTATTTAAAATGAATTTTCCATTGCTCAGTTTTCAAATTAATAGGTGGAAGTAGGGCAAAATGGGCACTTCAAAATTGTTTTCAAATCTTCATTTTTTTAAATTCCTTTATAATTTTGCCTTGTTCACTAATTGGAATTACTAATTCCTTTGCTGATGGCATTTCTTAACGATAATTGACAATGACCACTCCCATTAATATTTTGTTATAGAAAATAATGACTGCAGGAATAATTTTCACTACTTCAGAAATCAGAAATGACTTTATGAATTAGGAATAATTTTAAATAATTTTCCATTACTTGAAGGTGGGGCAAAATGAACAGTTCAGAAATTTTTCCAAATATTCATAACTCAAGAATAAATTCATCATTTCATGAGCAACTGAACAAGTTTTCAACTTAAAAAAAAAATCCAAAGTGTAAATTGGCATTACTAATTCTCAATTAATACTTCTTTCATAATATTATAAAAAAATTATGAGTAATTCACCTGAGCTGGAGGTATTTGAGGCATCTCAGGCTCCCCAAGATGCTCGACAGGCTGTTCCACTGGCGGTAGAATGCCCTCAGGTGCTTCAATACTCTCAGTCTGCATTAAACTTGCAGTGACATCTGGCACACTGGGCTCAACAGGCATAGTCATCTCATAATGGACAGGTGTCTCCTCAGGGACTGGAGTTGGCGCTGGAGGCGCCTCAGGCTCCTGCTCCACAGGGTGTTCCTCCATCATAGGCATCCCCGAGACATCCTCGTCAGCAGGTGCCTTCCTCTTTCTGCTCAGTCTCTTCCCGATGGAGGACTGGTCCAGGCCCAGCTGATCCTCAGGTGCCTCCCTCATCTGCTCGAGGGGAAGCCCCTCGTCCTCCTGGATCCTCCCGAAGTCCTCGTGATCGTAGGATTTACTCGTCAGGTGCTTCTGGTAGTTCTTGAAGAGGACTCGCGCTGGGATCGACCTCCCAGGAAGGGCGAAGAGCTTCTCAACACCCCCTGTCTCCTTCCAGTGCATCAGTCGCTTCGTCGGAGGGGCCAGGTCCAGGGTCGTCACGATGTCAGAGGTGTCTGACAGCTGCGCCTTCATCTCCTCCCCTGAGATGTTCTTCACCTCGTCGACGATCAGTTTGCGCTTGCGTTTCGCTTTTGTGAAGCCTTTCAGCGCTGAGGCGTCCACTGGGGCCAGGGCGAAACTCTCTTCCTCGTCGTGGAGGAGGGTCGTCTGGTCCTGCAGGGGAGCTGCCTCCTCTATGTGGTTCATCACGTGCTCTTCTGGGATTGTTGGCGGCGCTGGCGTAAATCTGTGGCTGGCGACACTCGCCCTTCCTCCGAGCTCCTCCCCAGCAGCAACCGGAGAAGTCGGTCTGGACCCATCGGTGCTCATGCCCCCCATCGGCGAAGGGGGTCCCCCAAAGTGATCCCCCATGTCATCTTCAGACTCTTCAGCAGATGCAGCAGCTGGAGTAGGCAGAGAAGTCCCAGGAGCCTCGGAAATCCCAGAAGTCTCGGGCACTGGGACCTCCCCCATGGGGGTTTCATCGAACAATCCCCCCTCGAAGAGTCCCCCTGATATGATGTCCTGTCCCAGGTGTCCCCCAAAGCCATCATCCCTGATGGGCGTGTCGATGTCCATCGGCTGCGTCGCGGACGTCCCTGGTACCGGCTCCTTCTCCTTCGGCTCCAGAGTCGAGTCGATGCTGGGGCCATCGCTGAACAGCATGTGTCCATGGTCCAGAGGGGGCTCCATCGTCGCCCCATGACGCAACAATTCTGGAGGTTCACCATCGAAACTCATGTCCCCGAAGCCCTGGTCGTGTGTCACCAGCGAGAGATTTCCGTAGTCCTCTCTCATCGTGATTTCTTCAGCTCGAGATTGATTCAGACTGAACTGGGCCTCGATATCCACGTCCTTCAGCTCTGGCATTGGGGTGTCGAAGTCGTGGAAGACCTACGGAGATACAGATAAGCCATAAAAAACGAGCATTCCCAAAATTACTCTCCTGATTTCTATTTACTTCCATTTATTCGAATTATTTTAGTGTTTTTTTAATCCATTGACTATTTTGATTTTGTGAATGCTGAATTCTGAAGGCAATAATCACTCCATTAAATAATAAATTCATTATTAGAATAATAATTAACCAACTGAGCAATTGAGAAGTAAAACTGATAAATAAATCAATTCATCAATGGATTTATAAATTAGCTAATTCAAAAACTTATCGAATATTTAATTTCACTGAAAATTCAATGGAATTCCCTATTTTTGAGCCGCAGAAAGACAAGAATACCCGAACTTACCTGAATTTTCTTGATTTCCATTGAATTCTAGCTATTTTAGCATTTTTTCATTCCATTAACTATTTTATTTTTGCAAATGCTGAATTCTCAATGCCATTATCACTCCATCAATTAATTAATTCATTATTAACTTAATAATCAACCAATTGATCAATTGAGGAGTAAAATTGGTAAATAAATAAATTCGTCAGTCGATTCATAAATGGACTAATTAAAAAACTCATAGAATGTCTAATTTCACTGAAAATTCAATGGAATTCCCTATTTTTGATCCGCAGAAAGACAAGAATTCCCAAACTTACCTGAATTTTCTTGATTTCCATTGAATTCTAGCTATTTTAGCATTTTTTCATTCCATTAACTATTTTATTTTTATAACTGCTGAATTCTCAATACCATTATCACTCCATCAAATAATTAATTCATTATTAACTTAATAATCAACCAATTGATCAATTGAGAAGTAAAATTGGTAAATAAATAAATTCGTCAGTCGATTCATAAATTGACTAATTAAAAAACTCAGAATGTCTAATTTCACTGAAAAGTCAATGGAATTCCCTATTTTTGAGCCGCAGAAAGACAAGAATTCCCAAACTTGCATGAATTTTCTTGATTTCCATTGACTTTCATAGAATAATTGAGCTTTTTAACGTAAATTCTTAACGTTAATTCTTAATGTTAATTCTTAACGTAAATTTTAATAAAATTTAAAAAATGGGAAAGAATGTTTTATTACAGAGACCTCTGGAAGAGTAATGGCGTTGACAGCCGCCTCTCGGTGCTCTTCAGGAAGGTCCACCATCCCCGGCCTGAAGGCCATCTTTATCTTGACGAAGGCCTCATTGCAGTCGGCTAGGAGGTACTTGGCTTTCCTCGAGTAGATGCGAACCACTCCCAGGAGCAAATGACCCGAGGTTCGAAGGGCCATCTTGACTTTTGGCTGCAGAATTCCGTCGACTGAGGACTCGATGTTCGTCTCGAAGACGTGGGCTTTCGTTAGCTTTTTGTCCCAGTGGGCGGCCAGCCAAATCCGGGCCAGAGGACCCTTCTTGGCGAGGACGAAGTGGGCGTAGAACATTTTGGGTCAGTCCGAGGTCCTGGGAACAGTAGAGCAATTAGAAAGGGTCACAAGATTTTTTGAATTTTTTTTTCTGTTCGAAATGATGAGAATTTTAATTTTGTTTTTTTATCCAGTTGTATTTCTGATTGAGTTTAGGGATATGTGTGATTAATATTGACTTTTAACTGTTGAGATCTTTAAATATTAACATTCAAAAGTGAAACTGTTTTTTATGGGTGAAGAATTTACCGTTTTAATGAGTTTTTAATGATTTTTCATAATTTCAAATGATCATTCAAGGACTTTCATTACTTTAGAGCGATAATCAAAGTTTTTCCATCAGTTTTTATGAATTTGAATGATTCAAGGATTTTTTTATAATTTTGAAGAGATATTTGGGACTTTACATGAGTTTTTAATTACTTTTTACGGCTTCAAACGACTTTTTAAGACTTCAAGAATTAGTAATGACTTGAAATGATTATTTATAATTTTTTATGAATATTAAAATTTTTAAATAATTGATTTGAAGTAGTTCTTGAGAACTTTAAATAACTTTTCAATTATTTTTCACGACTTTAGATCATGTTTTAATGATTTTAGCATGAACTCGAATCATTTTTCAATTATTCTTCATTATCTAAAACATGTTTTGGGGATTTTTCGTCAATAGTGACTGAATAGAGACGATAGGTTTGAGATTGAGTTTATGGAATTGAGGTGGGATATGCGAAGTATCTGGAGCGAGTAACAGTTTGGAAAATAAGAATGTTTATGCGAGATGGAGGTTTTGGGTGATGCGTGTGGCCTGGGTGACGGAATCAAAGGGATTATTGTGGGTGACAAAGAGTATGGAGCATTAGTGTTGGTGCGAGTGAGAGAGTGACAGGTAACGAAGAGAGACATTAGAGTGTGCTGAGATGAGAGAGTTTGGGGATGAGTCAGGGTTCGATGAGGAGAGCTAGAGAGAAGATCGAGAGCAATTGGGATCGTTTTCGATACACAAAATCTAGGTGACTGTTAGCCCTATGATTTTATATTTCATGCAGTTGTATTTGCAATGGAGTTTGACCATATTTGTTATCAATCCTGACTCTTGACATTTTGTTGTAAAACCAATCATTATTTAGATAATCACATAACAACGTGAACAATTGCATAAAGGCCCATTCAATTCCATAGCATCAACATTCTCTGAATTGATGAATCCTCTCCATAATGACTAGTTTTACAACGTCAACAAAAAATGTCTCTTAACAAACCGCTCCAAACCCCTTCACTCCTCAAATATCCCCAAAATGTCCATCAAAATCTCATGAGAAACATCACCAATCGCTGTTCAGAGATCCACGACGACTTGAACCAATTGAAAATTATCGTTGGCAACAAAAATAATACATCTGTCGATGTTGGTTATCAATGCAACTCGCCCCTCGCCCTTGTGGCTTCAAAACACAGTCCTTCATCGACAAAAGGTCCTCTCAACACTCATGATGAGGAATCTACAGTAATGGGGGCAGACTCCCGGAGACGACCCCCAGGAAGTGATGAATGTTTTGAACAGCAATATGGTGTTGCTTGATTCCCAGAATTGTCAACAAATACGTTTAAGATGGCGTCTTTGACTGCAGTTTTGGCGGTTACATACTGAAACCATAGATTATCCCCCAATTCACATACTTATCAATCATTACCTTTTATTATTATGATGTACTGTGTCAAGGCCGACTCCACGATATCATTTTATCACAAACAATTGAGGAATTCGGTTAATTTTTTATAACCAAACGGTTTAACACACGACGTACACAACGAGCGCGTCTTCTCGACCATCCGGGTGAATGCAGTACTGCCAACTTATGAAAAATACATTATAGAATACCTCATGTTCGCAATACCATAATTATCGATTCATGAATAATAATTGATCATGTTAAATGATTCCAATATCAAAATTAATACGTAAAAATTATTTTCAAAAAGTTTTTTCTTTATTATTAATTTTTTTTTTGAACGTTTTAGCACATTGACCAACACAACGAAATTGCGGGAGTATTCAAAAACGGGAAAAGGGCATGAAATGATTTTTTATAAGGACTTTAACTGGAAAAATTCCTTTTCTAATCAATTTTTTAATTATTAATCGTGTTTTTTGTATTTTTGCAACGTTTGTTAATTAAAAAATGGCAGAACCGTTAAAAAATGTGGAAAATATTTTTGTTTCATGATTTTTCATTCAATAAATCTACAATCATCAATTCATTCATAATAAATCGACGATTCAAACAGTTAAAATATGGAAATTGAGGAGAAAAATTTATTTCTAATTAAATTTATCAATTATTAAATTTTTTCGATCATTTTTAAATAAAAAAATTATGTAACAAAATAGATTTTCATAATTTCAATCTTTAAAAAATCCAGTAATAACAATTGACAACAATTAGATGATTTAACAATAAAAATTTCATAATCAACTTTTCAATTACCTTTTTAATTATTTCAACAATTCTGCCAACCTGACGAAACGGCGGGACCTTAAAAAACCTAAAACTTCTGCAAACGATCATTTCAGCAAAATCACCCAAAAAACTCATTTATAAAAATAATACCAATAATTTCACTTCCCAACGTTTGTTAATTAACAAATGGCAGAACCGTTAAAAAATGTGGAAAATATTTTTTTTTCATGATTTTTCATTCAATAAATCTACAATAATCAATTCATTAATAATAAATCGACGATTCAAACAGTTAAAATATGGAAATTGTGGAGAAAAATTTATTTCTAATTAAATTTATCAATTATTAAATTTTTTCGATCATTTTTAAATAAAAAAATTATGTAACAAAATAGATTTTCATAATTTCAATCATCAAAAAATTCAGTAATAACAATTGACAACAATTAGATGATTTAACAATAAAAATTTCATAATCAACTTTTCAATTACACCTTTTCAATTATTTCAAGAATTCTGCCAACCTGACGAAACGGCGGGACCTTAAAAAACCTAAAACTTCTGCAAACGATCATTTCAGCAAAATCACCCAAAAAACTCATTTTTAAAAATAACACCAATAATTTCCCTTCCCAAAGAGTTAAAAAAAATCGCTCAAACCCCATGATCATCGCCATCCTCCTCCTCCTCCTCACGATGTCAATAATCAGTTGCTCGAGCCACCGTCGCGGCATGACTCCCCGTGGCTCCGTCCGTCTATAACCCCTCAAAAGCCCAGAAAACCGAGTAAAAAAATGTTAACCCGGAGTGCAGTCCTGCGTTCCCAGCTTCCGCAGTTGTCGCGCGCCCTGATCCCCAGCCGCCGCTGCTCAGCCGAGCTGAACCCAAAGGTATCAGTGCGCCACCATGAAGTGAGGTTATCCGCGCCGAAGGAGAAGCAGGAGCAGCGGCTGCCCTTCGCCAAGAACTTCTTCGTCGGCAAATTCGACCCGGAGTTCGCGGCATTTCCGGTGCCGCAGACAACCCCCCGTCACGGCGAGTTTTTCGAATGGCTGAAGCCGATCGAGAACTACGTCAGCACCCTGGACATCGGGCGAATAGACTCGGCGAGTCAAATCCCCCAGGAGGTGCTGGATAACCTGAAGGACCTCGGGGTGTTCCGGGCGACAGTCCCCGCCGAGTACAGAGGACTGGGCCTGAACACCTCGGAGTTCGCCAAGCTCGTGGAGACGCTGTCAGCGATCCCGGTCCTGGGGACGTACCTCGTGAAGAAGCGGACGGCTGTGGACTTCATCGCGGGGCACGCCTCCGACGCCCAGAAAGCCCTCTACCTCCCGAGGATAGCCAGCGGGGAACTCTCCCCCACGATATGCATCACTGAGGACGACGAGGGCGCCTCGGACACCACCATCTCCACTCACGCCAAATTCTCCGACTGCGAGCAGTACTTCGTCCTGAATGGGAAGAAGACCTTCGTCTTCGACGCGAGACGGGCAAATCTTTTTATCGTTGTGAGCGAGTGCAACGAGACGGGTGAGTCTTGCACTTGACTTTCGTCAAAAATTAGTTTTCAGCACACTGGCTGTAAAACGGAATTTAATAATAGTATATTTCGTAACGAGTGCAAAAAAGTGTTTTTGACACTTTATAGACGTGGACTATAAACACCGGAGTCACAAAATGCTTTTATTATCACGGGATATAGAATATTTTAAGTCCCAAAGACCGAAAACTACGGTCTAACCAATCAAAATGAGGTTGGAATTCGTGGTTCATCGATCCTAGGCATATAATAGTATATTTCGTAACGAGTGCAAAAAAGTGTTTAAAATAGTATATTTCGTAACGAGTGCTCAAAAACATTTTTTCACGAGTTACGAACAATATTTTTCATCACAATGTGGCGGAAATTGGACTTTTAGGCACGCGGAGCGCGCCGAAAAGTTCACTTTTCGTCACAGCGTGATGAAAAGAATTTTTCATAATTTTTCATTACACTGGCCGTAAAACGGAATTTAAGATATCATTTTTCATAATTTTTTATCACACTGTCCGTAAAACGGAATTTTACGAACACTTCGTGTCCGTAAAACGCCATCTACGGACATTGTAAAGAAAAATTATGTTTGTCACTCGGTCAAAAACTACTTTTCTAACTCATGTAATGGCATTCCTCGAATTCGTCTTGATATGCAACCCTCACGCCCGTCAGAAAAGTTTTTTTCGACCTTGTGACAAAAATAGCTATTTCATTGTACTGTCCATAAAAAGGAATTTTACGGACATTTCGTGTCGGTCAAACGCTGTTTGCAGACAGTGGGAAGGAGGATTAGCTTCGTAACTGGGTAGGAAGAAATTTTCTGACGGAAATAAAAAAATGCATTTTTCTCACTAGTGCGATAAACTGTTATACGATCCTGGGGAAAGTGTATATTTTACGGGTTAGGCCGCAAAATGTCGTTTTAGAGATGAAAAATCGTATTTCACGTTCATATGTGCAGAAAAACGACTTTTATTCACGATTAACGTACGGTATTTCACAGCCTAGGCCGTAAAGTATGAGTTTGAAGCCCTCAGAGTCCGTAGGATAGTACTTCACTGGTTTATAAATAGTGCTTTACACTCGGGTATAGGAAAAAAAACTTTTTCAAGTGTAATATACGATTTTTTCGTACGCGTAAAAAATCGCTTTTTTCTCAGTGTAGAATTTGCCTCAAAAATAGGCGTTTTACAGCCTCAGGTGAAAGTATATTTCCGCACTCGATATATACTATACGTTTGGGTGGTTTAAATTTTTTTTCAACTTCTGACATGCAATATTTTAGTGAACTAGTGAAAAAAATTCACTTTTTCTCAACAAATAAAAATTTTTGCGATTCCCACGTAATTTTCCATTTCGAACCAAAGACAAGGAAAACAATCACATGACCGAGAACAGTTTATTATCCCAGGGATACATTTAGCTGAAACTAGCGAAAGATTCGCCAGCGAAAAATTCAATTTAGTCGAATCTAGGAGTGTAAAAACAGTTTCTAGTCATCTATAAATTCTTTCACACTTAAAAACCATTTGCACCCAAATTGTTTGACTCTCACGCCCTTGAAAATCTCCTAGAAGTAATTTTCCCTGGCGAATATTCGGATAGTTTCCGAAAAACCCCATTCAAACCGAGCAAAGTGAGATTAGAATAACGTTTTATCATGCCTAGTGACATAAACGCCCTTTCCCCTACCATCACACGACCCCTCTCCAACCTGCGAAAGCTTCGAATAAAACCGTCTCTTCCACCCCCGCAGGCACGGGCCCCAGGCCGGTCGACACGACCTCGGCCTTCCTCGTGGAAAGATCGGCCGAAGGCATAACAGTGTCCCCCCCAGCGGACACCGTAGGCCTCCGGGGTCTAGACCTCTGCGCCGTAGCCTTCAACGACATGAAAATCCCCCGGGAAAATCTGCTCGGCTCGATCGGCGAGGCCAGCAGGAGCTTCTCAAAGCTCTTCGGCGAGGGCAGGCAGTACCTCGGTGGTCAGGCCATCGGGATCACCCGTAAATTCGTCCAACTCATGATCCAACACTTCAAAGCCAACAAGGACTTCAACGCCCTCAAGTTCAAGAACCAGGTCCTCCAGGACGTCATCGGGAAGACCTGCGGCGCCATCTACGGAATGGAGAGCGTCGTCTACCTGACCTGCGGCATGATGGACAACTTCGAGGAGCAGGATTGCGACATGGAGAAGTGCATGGTGGAGACCTTCTGCGCTGAGGAGTGCCTCCAGAACATAATCACAGGTCTTCAGCTGGTTGGAGTGAGCTCTCTCGTGAGGGATCAGCTGTTCCAGCAGTTCTTCAGGGACGCTGTCGCCCTGATGTCGGTGGAGGGGACTGTTCTCAATACCAAAGTCTTCGTGGCGATGCTGGGGCTTCAGCACACCGGGGACATCGTCACCGACAAGGTCAAGATCCACAGGACCCCCTGGAACCACCCGACGTACGTCCTGAAGAAGGTCTTCGGGTACCAGCACACGAGCAAGCTCTATATATCCGATAATCTTCATCCCTCTTTGAAGACGACGGCTGAGACCCTGGAGTACGGCATCGGAAGGCTCAAGGAGTGCGTCGAGAAAGTCGCCATTCAGTATGGCAGGGAGATCTTCGAGAAGCCAGCGACCCACAAGAGAATCGCGGAGTTCGCCTCTTGCCTCTACGTCATCTCGGCGACCCTCGCCAGGACCAACAGGTCCTACTGCCTCGGCATGAGGGACGCCGATAAGGAGGTGTACCTCACACAGATTTATGGGTATATCCTTTACGAGAGGATCAAGAGACTCGCGGACCAACTGGAGGACTCGGAGTGGATCAATGGGGATTATATCATTCAGGAGATATCCGATAGGGCGTTTGAGAAGAATGGGTACTTCCTCGAACATCCGTTGGCGAGGAACTTCTCGTAGAGGGGAATGGGGTGGAGGTGTCTGGAAATGATGATGATGATGATGATCAGTTGTATAGAATAGATAAGACTGTACAAATTTAAGTTTTTAAGGATTAAATGTCGATTAAATATTGATCGCTTTTTCTTCATTGCACTGCGCTTTCATGCGCTGATTTTCGGGCGAAACTACATGAATGTGACTTAGTTCAATTTATTATTTTGGCTTTTTGGGGCTCACATACCGAAGACATTGAAGAAGGGAATTTATGTAGCGTTCCACGTCTTTGTGACGTCGTAGGAAATGATTAAATGGATTGGATTCATGCGTTCTTGAATTTAATAATTATATATAATAGTAGGGAGGTCCCTTACAACTACCTGAACATTCTTAATTATTTCGTGAGGTGTCTCAAGAAATTTGAATTCAAATTAGCTACCTAGGCCACCCAGAAATTAAAGTCACGAATTTTTAGTTTCACCGTTTTTCCTGGGATTCTTCATTTTTGAGGTTTTTGCTTTGAAATCGCGATGTCAGAGACTTGTAAAAAAACTTCTCACAAAAATTTCGATACATTTCGATAGATTCTCGATTATTTATTCAATAAATGAGTAAATGACAACACTGGACTCTCATCACTCCATTTATTTCTATTTACATCTAAAAAGTATACCTAGCCGAGTTACACTGAGTTATAGAATCAGCAGTGGAGTGGCGGAAAATCAGAAATTTCACTTTTTAAAATTTTGAAAATACTTCCATGAGGAGTGACAGTGCACTCCCTAATATTGAAATGATTAAATGCTTAGTTCCACCACTGCAGCACTGGAATGAACGTTCGATGAGACAAAACGTTTATTGACTAGTAAAATTTGATTTCTCAGGCCTCATATTTCTCAGACAATTATATTCAATCCCATCAGATAATTGATCTCCGTCTCTGTTAGTTGATGAATTAAGGACACAGTTCAACTGTTGTACTTCAAGTCATAGTGAAGTGGTGAAACGTGTTACAACAATTGTTTAATTATCGTGATAACGAGGGGATTTAGGGGAAAATGTCAAAAGACTTTTTTTGTAAAGAATTAAATTTGCATCGAAAAATCAACTTAGAAGATCAACTTAAAACATTCCCAACGTTTTTAAAAATAGATTTTTGAATATGATCAAAAATTTTCGTTCTTTGATTATCAAAAATAATTGAATTTAATGGTTTTTTTCCTAACAAACAAAAACTTTTTTTTTTTCGGTGTAAACCTCACCTCAAAATCCACTGAATCTACTCATTACCAAGGTAATTACACATTCGTATCACCCTGAGAGAAAGAAAAGCGACGAGGAAGCCAAGATTACCAAGATAAGTCACAGATTTGCTATCACATCATTGTTATTCTATTAAAAAATTGATTTACTGCATTCACACAAATTTCTCGGGACCATAATAGCCCTGCGAGTGCTGGAAATCAGATGCTCTTGCTCGCAAAAAAATAAAAAATCTTTGGAACGGAGAATTCCCCTCTCGGGCTATAATTTTTCATTTTAGAGCACTTGGTAATCATTACGTTTGAGTCATTCCCCAGAAGCTGCCTCTTTTTTCTTTCTGCCAGTGAGTGTTTCACCTTCCTGCCACTTTTGAAAGCAAATGCGTCTAGCGGACGGACTCCTAATGCAAATCAAAAGAATTCATGGAAGTTCTACATTTTGGAATGCTGAATTCTTTATCCCTCGAGTAATAATTAAACTAGAGTCTCTCGGCCTGGACGACCACGTGCTCCTCCTTGAATGCATCGCTGGGTGACCAACAGCTCCTGGAGCACGTGAAGACTAGGACTGTGCCGAACTCCAGCTGGAAGTTGCGGTCGATGCTTGGAGAGAGCTTCAGCTTTGGAATTATCGTTGGAAGAACTTGTACCTCGAAGATTCTTTCGCCACCGCAGTGTCTGCAGAAGCCCGAGGAGCTCAGGGGGGTGAGGAGGAGGGCTGCTGAATTATCTCTGCAGTACCTGAGACACAAGTGGATAGATCATTTGTTAAATATCATTTGTTTTATGATTTTTATTCGATTTTTGGGACTTTAAATCAGTTTTTAAGGACTTTTTGTGAAGCAAATAGCCTTTAAACGATTTCTTATGACTTTAAAAATTCGTTGTGACTTGAAATCATTATTTATAATTTTTTATGAACATTTAAATTGTTAAATCATTGATTTCAAATAGTTATTGAGGACTTCAAATAAGTTTTCATTCATTTTTCATGATTTTAAACGATGAGTGAATGATTTTCCTTTATAAAAACATTAATTATTTCAAGAGATCTTTACCGTAGAGAAAACTCAAAAATTGAAGCCAAAAAAATTAGAATAAAAAATAAAAAATAAATTTAAAAATCCTTCATCTCGTATTTCCCCATTAGATTCAAGATTTTGAAGAAATTTAATGTAATTAAATAGATGTTTTAAATTTAAAAAAATTAATTTAACAATTTTGTCAATCATGAAACCCTCACCTGATCAACTGTCCCGGATTCTTCTGTATTCTGCACTTGAAATGATGGAACATCTCGTCCCCATGTTTAGGAACGCTTTTTTCGTACACCTCGGGATTCGTGTCCATTCCCCTCATCTCCTCCGCCCCCTCGGACTCGGGGAGGTGCATCTGGTACTCCCTGGCGAGGTCCCTCTCGTGTTGAGAGACGTCGACCGAGAGGTCCTCCTCCTCCACCCACATGAATACTTCGGTGAATGTCAGGTTGACTGGGGCATTTGGGTCGTGATGCTGGAAGGGGTTGTGCGTGACTTCCTGGAGGAGGTCCATGAGGTTGCACTGGGGCTGCGTGGGGGTGTCAATGCAGACGACTTCTGATTCCTCACCCTCGATCTCCGCTGATGCCTGAGGGATAGCAAATTGAAATTTTTTCATCGATCTTATTTGGTATTTTTCATTAATCTTGGCCTTTGACTGAAGTTTTTTGGGTTTTTTTATAATTTTGAACAGTTTCTAAATGATTTTTCATGATTTTAAATGATATTTGAGGTTTCAAATTAATTTTAATTACTTTTCATGATTTCAAATCGCCTATAATCATTATTTGTAATTTTTCATGAATATTGAAATTATTAAATCGTTGATTTAAATAGTTATTGAGGACTTCAAATAAGTTTTCAATTATTTTTCATGATTTTATACGATGTTTCAACGATTTTAGCTTGAACTCGAATCATTCTTCAATTATTCTTCACGATCTAAACTCATGTTTTGGGGGTTTTTAGTCAATAGTGACTGAATAGAGACGATAGGTTTGAGCGAGTAACAGTTTGGAAAATAAGAATGTTTATGCGAGATGGAGGTTTTGGGTGATGCGTGTGGCCTGGGTGACGGATTAAAGGGATTATTGTGGGTGACAAAGAGTATGGAGAATTAGTGTAAGTGCGAGTGAGAGAGTGACAGGTAACGAAGAGAGACATTAGAGTGTGCTGAGATGAGAGAGTTTGGGGATGAGTCAGGGTTCGATGAGGAGAGCTAGAGAGAAGATCGAGAGCAATTGGGATCGTTTTCGATACACAAAGTCTAGGCGACTGTTATCCCTATGATTTTATATTTCATGCAGTTGTATTTGCAATGGAGTTTGACCATATTTGTTATCAATCCTGACTCTTGACATTTTGTTGTAAAACCAATCATTATTTAGATAATCACATAACAACGTGAACAATTGCATAAAGGCCCATTCAATTCCATAGCATCAACATTCTCTGAATTGATGAATCCTCTCCATAATGTCTAGTTTTACAACAACAACAAAAATGTCTCTTAACAAACCGCTCCAAACCCCTTCACTCCTCAAATATCCCCAAAGTGTCCATCAAAATTTAATGAAAAACATCACCAATCGCTATTATTATACCTGAGGCGAATCCAATCTCCCCACAGCTCCACCTCCCACTGGACTCTCCACACTGGCCGGACTATTAGCATTGGGATCGTCAACCCTCATGTTCGACAGATCCTCGTTCAACTCCTCATCAATATCCCCAGTATTCATGAACAGATTCAACTTGGTCGAGTCGTTCATGTTGTTGCCATTCTGCTCTGAACTGTTGTCATTCCCATCGTCTCCCCAGTCGTCAGCACCTGATAGCCAGCTCGTGGTGGGTGGCGTGGGCACTGGGGCTGTCTCAGTCGTCTTGATACTCTTCTCCTCGAGGAACTGCACGCGCAAGCAGGTCCAACTGTCGTGCTGGTTCCAGCAGTTGGGGTTTATGCAGGTGAAGATGTACAGGGTTCTGTGGTAGCGAGAGCTCTCCAGGGGTGCGTACAGCTGGAGGGCCAGCAGTTGATTCAGCCCGCAGAGGCGACATGTCGGGGGCGAGAGGGAATTCTCGTTTATTGGGAAGTCCTGGAGATGAAGAATTCATATTCAATTCCATAAATTCAGAGTAAAAATTCCCAGAACATGATTTTTAATTGGGAAAAATAATTAAAGAATGATTCGAGTTGATACTAGAATCGTTAAAGCATCACTTAAATTCATGAAAAATAATTAAAAACTCATTTTAACTCCCCAATACCTATTTCAAAAGAATGATTTAAAAATCTAAATATCCATAAAAAATTCTAAACAATGATTTCAAGTCTTAAAGAATTCTAAATTATCAATTGAAGTAATGAAAAATCGTTTCATCTGAAATTATCACCTGAACATCATATTAAATAATTAAAAATCATGATTTAAAAATTTAAATATTCATAAAGAATTCTAAATAACGATTTCAATTCTTAAAAAATTCTAAAACGCCAATTGCCCTCATGAAAAATCATTTTCAGTCCCAGACATCCACTCAAAATAATTGACAACAAAATTCCCACCATAAACAATCAATAATTATAAACTAATTTGACCCTCTCTTCCCCAATTAACGAATCCTCTAATTTTTGAGTTTGACTCACCGGTTTCCCCCCGATCTTGTTCGTCGCAAAATTCACCAGAGACCGATGTTTCTCAGTGACAAACTCATCCTCATACCCCAGGTACACTCTAGCTCGACTCTTGCAAGCCATCGATGAATCCCAGTCCCCAAAAGTCCCTCAGTCCCCCAGAACCTCGAATCCCCGCCTATGAGTTCCCCCAGGCGCTCCAGCACTGGCTTTTTATTCCCTCGACGTATTTTATTCTTCTCTGACGAATTCCACTGGCTTTTTATTCTCCCGAGGATCACCCGAACAATGAGGCACTCGTGCAATTACCCAACCATGCGAATTGATGTGCGTCAGAACCAGGTGTTCCCCAACGCGTGCGCCTCTTAACTTAATCCCCACTGGCTATCGATTTTAAGACTCTTTCAACGCAGATAAACTCGAAATTCATTTACGAATAACGAGAGTCTCTCTGCAATAATTCGCGCGACGATTTTGGAATTATTTACTGGGGATTTCGAGAGAGGAAGAGGTTAGGGGGAGGCCCAAGTGCCTTGAAGAGCTTGAAGAACATCTGAATCATCTGCGGGGCCATTCCACGACGCCTGTTCAATTTTAAAAGGCCCTGGGGAGTGCATATTCGCTCGTTATGGGGGTAAAACGGATGAAATGGTTATTGGAAATGATTGTGTGAGGGTCATAATTGGCTTTTTGGTGATAAACTATTATTTTAGCGGGGGATTGTTGATTATTTCGGTGCAGATGGGGATTTGAACGAGTTGAAAGTCCGAAATTCCCGCTGCGCGTGCGCGAAAGTGGCGCTGTCCAAGATGGCGGCAGAGGTCTCGGGGCAGACGGACGCTTTGGCGTCCGCTGCGTGTTTTTTTGGAAAAAATAAGGGTAAAACGATCGAATTAATTATCAAAATCATCATAATTAATTAGTAATAATGGGGGACAACGATTTTGTCACGAAAAAAGAGAGCATTTCATTGTTTTATAAACGTTAGGAAGCAAAAAAGTTGATTGCCAAAAAATATTTCTGCGCAACGTATCCGCGCATGACCAAGATGACGGTGAGAGTCGGCAATGAACGAGATGTTGGCGTTCGCTGCGTGTTTTTTGGAGAAAACGAGGGTAAAATAATCGAATTAATTATCAAAATCATCATAATTAACTAGTAATGATGGAGGACAACGATTTTGTCATGAAAGTAGAGAGTATTTTGATGTTTTATAAACGTTAGAAAGCAAAAAAGTCGATTGCCAAAAAATATTTCTGCGCAACGTATCCGCGCATGACCAAGATGGCGGTGAGAGTCGGGCAGTGAACGAGATGTTGGCGTTCGCTGCGTGTTTTTTGGAGAAAATGAGGGTAAAACAATCGAATTAATTATCAAAATCATCATAATTAACTAGTAATGATGGAGGACAACGATTTTGTCATGAAAGTAGAGAGTATTTTGATGTTTTATAAACGTTAGAAAGCAAAAAAGTCGATTGCCAAAAAATATTTCTGCGCAACGTATCCGCGCATGACCAAGATGGCGGTGAGAGTCGGGCAGTGAACGAGATGTTGGCGTTCGCTGCGTGTTTTTTGGAGAAAATGAGGGTAAAACAATCGAATTAATTATCAAAATCATCATAATTAACTAGTAATGATGGAGGACAACGATTTTGTCATGAAAGTAGAGAGTATTTTGATGTTTTATAAACGTTAGAAAGCAAAAAAGTCGATTGCCAAAAAATATTTCTGCGCAACGTATCCGCGCATGACCAAGATGGCGGTGAGAGTCGGGCAGTGAACGAGATGTTGGCGTTCGCTGCGTGTTTTTTGGAGAAAATGAGGGTAAAACAATCGAATTAATTATCAAAATCATCATAATTAACTAGTAATGATGGAGGACAACGATTTTGTCATGAAAGTAGAGAGTATTTTGATGTTTTATAAACGTTAGAAAGCAAAAAAGTCGATTGCCAAAAAATATTTCTGCGCAACGTATCCGCGCATGACCAAGATGGCGGTGAGAGTCGGGCAGTGAACGAGATGTTGGCGTTCGCTGCGTGTTTTCCGGTGAAAATCAGGGTAAAATGATCGAACTAATTATCAAAATCATAATAATTAATTAATAATGATGGGGAGCAACGATTTTATCACGAAAATGGAGAACATTTCGGTATATTACACGCGTTAGAAGTCAAAAACGTTTAATGCGAAAAAAAATTCTGCGCAACGTATTCGCGCATGTCCAAGATGGCGGCCAGACTCTGGTAGTGAACGAGTTCTTGGCGTTCGTTGCGTGTTTTTACGGAGCAAATGAGGGTAAAATCATCGAATTAACTATCAATAACATAATAATTGGTTAATAACGACGGAGAACAATCATTTTAATATGAAATTGGCGAGTATTCTGGCGTATTATAAGCGCTGGAATATGAAAAAATTCGCACACAAATATTTCTACTCCCCTGCGCAACATCTCCGCGCATATCCAAGTTGGCGGTCGACAATAAATAAATGTTCTGCCGTCCACTGCAGGCATTTTCGAGGGAGATGAAGGAAAAACCATGGAATAAATCTCAAGTAACGAGACAATTGGTCATTAACCATGGATAACCAATTTTAATATGAAATTGACGTCAGTTCCTGAACGTTTCCATAAATGAACTGTCTTCTCTACAAAACAACGTCACAAGGTGGCGCCTGGTGTGTAATTCTGGACAAGAAACAAGTGTTTTATGCGCTTTCACGGACTCATTAAACAATTTAACTAATTAAAAAATTGATTAAAATGCGGGAGAAGAACCAGTAGTGAATAAAAAGGATTTTATCCTTGATGTTGAGGTTGTGACAAGTGCGGGAGTGTATCCGGGAGTTTCGCGATTGCCGACGTAGTGATTAATCCGGACGATGGCGGTTGGTGTGTCGAGTGCTTTTGTGTTGTTTTTTCGGCGCCAAGGTTCAAGTGCTGATGGAAATGTAAAAATAATTGTTTTGTGAGTGCAAGTGGTTCGAGAGGATTGAGCCACGTGGATTATGATGCAGGTAGCTGGTAGCTGGTTGGAGAGGTGAAAACGGAGCTGTTGTTTTCATCCAACGCCGGTGAGTGATTTAAATTATTTTCCTCATTGATTTATCATCTAGGGAGGTTTTCCCAGATGAAAACCTCCCTGGATGATTTGATGAATTCTGTTTTTTTTTAATCTTGATTTTTACGTTGAACTGAAAACAGCGATTTTTCTATTTCTTGTGATCATTTGATCCTTTGATTCTCTTGGGTCATAGGGGGAGAGGGAGCTCTTATTATCTTTTGTTATTGAAACACAAATCCATTTTTGCGAAATGACTTTTACGAAATGTCGACAAGGATCAGAATTTTATAATGAAAAACTAGTGTCACAGGACAAATTTTCAGAATATGGCTCCTATGGGGCTCTAGGAGGTCGTAGAGGGTCTTCTGGAGGTCTTATAGGGCCTCATGAGCGTCATAAACGCACATTAAACCGGGAAAAATGAAACAAATTAAATTTTACGATCAAGAAACTAGTTTTCTTCTTTATTCTCACCTAAATTTTCGTATGAGATTAATCAATTATGTCTAAATAATTTTTATATTAATGCACTTTTCGTTCTCTCCACATATTCATTATAACAAATCACTTCTACTTAATCAATGGTAAACTTTTTATACAAAGGAAGCGTTGGATACTACTTTACAGACTTGCGTACAGGCGCAGTTTAAAATGTTAAATAATTCTTATTTATTATTCATCTTCACGCGTGTGTAAAATTAATTTTCACGAGTGTTCTGACCCCTCAGTCTTTAGAAGTGGGGCAAGACAGCATGAGGAGGTGGTTTATAATTGACTAAAACAATTTTGCATCGAAGTGGAACGATTGGATGAAACAGGCCGACTTTGATCGTCAATAAGTCGAGAACTGCTGAGTGGAATTTCTCGATGTTTTTTTCGTTTTCAAGGTATTTTTTCAAGTTTTAAAATGAGACGTAACTCGTCTGAATCGCATCGTTGAGTCTGGAGATATTGAAGATTAAAGAAGGCCTGTTTCAACTCTTTGATTCATGACGTTTAACCACTTCAATGCACAATTAATAAATTAATCCCCTAAAAAATCAGATATGCGCCTCAAATATTCCATCTTTTGCACTAACTTACGTGTACAAAAATAATTAATTATCCCTCGATTGCAATCTCCAATTTCAATAAAAAATTACATTATCAAAACAAAGGAGAACATTAATTTACATGAATTGACAGGTGCACATGTATACAAAATGTTATACATTATTGACGATGATTATTATTATGTATATTTCGAGTGTTGTATGTAGACTGCAGTATCATAATCACTTCGCGTTGGGGAATTTAATTTGCGCCATGGGAAAAAAATCATCTCCATATTTTGAAATTAAATTTTTTTCACGTTCATTAATTACGCAGTAATCAATGATTTTTTGAGGAAATATCAAGACTTTTCGAAAATTTGGTGATATTTTTTCATGTCTCGTGACATTTTCATCTAAACCCATTAATTAGAAAGATAATTACGTGATTAAGAGAGCGAAAATTGAAATTAGTGAATTGATTCAATTTTGTTTTTTCGTAATTATCTCGGTAATGAGTTTATTAACAAAAAATATCATAAAAACTTTTTGTAGCTCATGAAATTCCCCACAAAAATGTTTTATGACATTTTTTCCTGAACCCACTCCTTACCACGATAATTTCATAATTGTCAAAACGAAAAGTGAAATTAATCAGTTCATTTCATTCCGTCCATTTCGCAATTATCGCAGTAATGAGTGATTTTACGAGAAAATGTCATAGGAACTTTTTTGTAGCTCATGAAATTTCCTACAAAAATGTCTTATGCTATTTTTTCATAACCCCTCTCATCACCGAGATAATCAATAATTTTTCCATTTCCCTAGGACTTTCTTCAACTTAAATTGAAGAAATGTCGACAGTTCTCTTGAATATCAATGCAATTTTTTTTCCCACGTACAAAAATTCCCCATTATAATCCATTGACGTTAAAACGTCAACGGATCGTCCATCATCAAATATCTATTCACAACCGAATGAGGAGACGAGTGAGAAGCTTTACGTAATTGCACTAAACACTTTTTCACCGTTTTTCCTTGAACGTTACCTTATAATTAACGATTTGCATAGTTACAAAGATCATTAGAATAAATACGAGTGTCAGATAACCGTGTGGAGTAGCAAAAGATACGATGGCACCATCATTGGTTGATTACAACAAAATGAATTCTATTCATCACAATTTATCCATGATAAAATTATTATCGATTATTGTTGATTGATCAACGACTGAACATTACCAGCATGCTGTCGTGTTTTTGATCAGATATATTATACAAATGTACGGTCAGTGGGATTATTTTTATCCTATTATCTGGGTGGAACTGTTGGCATCTGCTCGAGAAAGTCCTGCTCGATTACAGTCTCCAGTTGCGTTATGTTAAGCGGTGCATCCGAGTCGTTTGATCGGCAGCTTAGGGTTGAGAAAAAATTGTGTAGATCTTGGAGGGAACGTATGCGATTCGATGTGAGGATCAGTTCGCCTGGGGTCACTTTTACTGGTGGACTTTCGTTAAACTGTGAACAATTCAAAAACTGACTCTTATTTTTTGCTGTTATCTCGATAACTACTGGATTTATCGAGAAATGTCATAAAAACTTTTTTGTAGGGGAGAAAATTCTGCAAAAAAAATTGTATATGACGTTTTTTCGTAGGACTAATAATTAGAAAGATAATTAACAAAATAGCAAACGTATTTTTTGGTGAATCGTTCAATGAATGTTTTGGAATTTTTTTAATTAGTCAATTATCTCAAGTACGAGTGAATTTAGGAGAAAATGTCATATATGTTTTTTGCAGAGAATTTAATTCCCCACATAAAATCTCTTCTCACATTTTTCTCTAAATTCAGCAGTTACCGAGATATTGGAAAAACAAACGTCCCAAAAATTGATTTAGCGAAAAAAAAACTGTTTTCATCGTCAAAAATATTGTCATAATCGAAATTCGAAAACCGGAAGTGTTTCAAATGCAAGACATTACCTCCAGTGTAGGGTTATTGGCTTAGATACAAAAATAAACTCAACAAGTATATATAAAACATCACTAGGCACTGTACCAAGCTCGTGGTGAATTTTCCGCAACTCTTCGCTTTTCAGCTTAAGTTGAAAATAGTCATGCCAACACTTGTAAACCAATCTCTCGGTCTTTGTTCTCAAATGTGTAAAGAATACACCGTGACGAGGATTATTCAGTAATTTACAATGTCAGTGGAGTGTACCAGTGAGTTTGAATTTACAAAGTGTGTTGAGAGGCTGTCAGTTTCTGGTGATTATGATAAATCGATTGATAAATTTGTGATGAACAACAATGGATAAGACTGCTCTACTAATTATCGTTGTTATCACTTCAATGTTCGTTAATTCACGTGAGTAATTGACTAATCAACAATTCTTTAGTGAAAGAATAAGAAAAAAACATGAACAAAAGGGAAAAAGTCATGAATAAAAATAATCACGTGAGTAATTGTTGAATTGTCTCGATTACAAGGGGTTGTAGGAGAAAATGTTCAACGATTTTTTTGTGTAGAATTTTACGGGCTACAAAAGAGGTCTTTAGACATTTTTTCCTAAATCCACTCGTTACCCTGATAATTGCCAAGTTTATAAACACGATAAATTCAAATATTTTTTTTGTCTACTAATAATCCAATTATCTCAGCAATGAGTGGCTCTACGAGGAAAAGTGAGAGAACCTTTTTTGTAGAGAAATAAATTCCCTACAAAAAATGTTCAGTGACATTTTTTCCTAAACCCACGCATTCCCGAGATAATTTCTGATTTAGGAGAAATCAAAATTTCCGCTCACTGAATTATCAAATTCTCTCTCAAAATGTTCAATAAAAACCGGTAAAAGAATATTTCGACGCATATTCATGTCTTTAGAAATGAATTCTTGTTTTTGTTCGTTCGTTTTTTTCCCCTCTATAACATCGGAATTAATTGGCAGTCACCCACGTGTCTAATTCCCATTGATTGACCCCAATTAAGCCCTCATTTTTCCACTCAGAATACACAGATGACTCCGATTACGACGATTTCCCCATCTACGAGGACTTGAACGACGGAATTCTGGAGTCCCAAGGGCCCGACGACTTCTACATAATCCCCGAGGATGATGTGAACGATAAAAAAGCGGAGATTCCCTCGAGGGAGAAAAAATTACCAGAGAAAAAGTATCAGTACACTAAACACCGAATTCCGGGGTATGACTACGACGAGTTGGATTTTATGGACGAGGGGAGTGTGAAGAGGTGTGATGAGAGATCTGTTTGGACCCACTGCCTCTGTCAATTCACTTGCACCTCCAAAAATACTGTGGACTGTTACACACCTTGCAGGAGTGGGTGTGAGTGCAGGGAGGACTTTGTTTTTGATGAGGAGAGTGGAACGTGCGTTTATCCGGATCAATGTGTAGATTTAATACGAATTTAATCAGGTTTTAGCTATTCTAGGGGAATTAATTGTGGCTAATGAATTATTTTTTTTTATTCTTGATTTTTTCATTTTGTTAAGTGTTGATTTATCTTGAGAAATAGGGGGAAATGTTGGAGACGATTTTATGCAGGAAATTTCGCGATTTAAAAATTTGTTTTTAAACATTTTTGGATGATTCCAATAGCTTTGGAGGAATTTGCAAAATTGTTTGGAGATTTTTTGCACTAATTGGTGATAAATTAAATTTGTAGACTATTTTGTGAATATCTGAGAAGGGGTTTAGAAGAAAATGTTAAACGACATTTTGTGGAGAATTTTATAAGCTGTGGAAATCGACTTTTGATAATTTTTTAAATTCCATTTTGATGTTTCCAAAATTGTTTAGAGGAATTTCTTGAACTGAGTTGAATAAAACAAAATTTCACCATTCGTTTTAAAAACACTCGTTCTCGAGTTAATCTACAATTTTCTCTCACTAATACGAATTTAATAATTGATTTACCTTCAAATCCATCAATTTTGCTATTCTCGTAATATGTGGTACAAAGTCTGACGATAGATTATTGTTCTCGAGTCTTCCAACAGCTGCATCGCCCACAAATGCCCACCGATACCTGCAAAAAATCGTTGAAATAATTAAAAAACAATTTTAAAAAGCCTAAATAATTTTTTAAAAATATTTCACTTACATTTGGAATTGTGGGAGCTTGTGGGCTGGCAGTAGCAGTGCCAGATCGAGTAATTTGGCAGCTGCCAGCTGCAATTGGAGCCAGTGTGGGTGTCCATGGGCCTGAAGACCATTGTTGGCATTGACAGCCCACGAGGAGTCCAACGCAGACAGCAGTTTAATATGAGAACTAACGAAAAAATAGAGAAAAAAATTGTAAACGTCACTTCTACCTCTTGTTAACTATTTGTTTCTTATTTATAATTATTGAATAAATAATGACATGAAGCAAACAGGGTCACACAAGCAATTCTCTCCGTAAAACTTAAGCTATTGATCCATGTTATTGATTTCAATTCATTCAACATCACTCAACCGAAGTGCCATTTCTTAAAAATTCTAATTACCTGCTCTGACGACTGCCATCCCCAACACCGCAGATATTTGCCAAAAACAGATCCATAAAACAAAACATCACGTGATTAATTGTTTTTTTTTTGTTAGGTAATGATGAACGATAAAGGCAAACAGAAAAAAAGATCGTTCCAATGATTAAGTTAATTGGAGTCGTACGAATACCCAAGCAAAAGAAAGCTCTGATAAAAGGGAAAAGATGATTGTTAATCATGAATTATTATTTTTTAATTGATGAAAAGATGAAGGGAATTAGTTCTAAAAGTAGAATAACAGAGGATGAACAAGCAGTTGAAAATAAATTCAGTGAAGTGGTAAATCTTCGATATCTTGCGAACGAATGATGCGATTCCAACGAGTGTTAGCTAATTTCAAAGCCACTGAAAACCCCTTTAAAATGAGTCCAGATATTAAAAAATCCACTCTGCGGATCCAGAGTTATGGATAATTGAAGACAAACTAATTCCGTAGCTGTTTAAATCGATTGAAAAAAAGCACTTGCAGTTTATTTTGGAAATATCTCCGAAGGGAAGCGGTTTATCACTAATTCACCAAGAGACTTTTTTGTAGCGAATTTAATTCCCCACAAAAAACGTTATATGGAATTTTCCCCTAAACCCCCTCATTCTCAAGCTGTCTCGAAAAAACGGAATCGAAGATTTTCCATCGCTCTCCACGACTTCCAGCCCCTCCACCATAAACCCCAGGGAAACCCATTGAATTACCTGAACTCCTCGCTGTCTGTGTTCAACTGCTCCTCGATATGCAGGAAAACCTGCACGAGTTCGCTCACAATGACTGGCCACAGTGAAGTCGCGTGCGACGGTGACATTCTCAGCAGTAGCACCCTGAAGCACAAGAAAACCTGCGCCTGAATCGAGGGAACGACCTGGGGCAGCCTGAGGCTATCGGCAAGCCTCTCCTGAATGTCTGGCATGTACTTGTGATACTGATCAGTCTCACTGCACAGTATCACAAAAGCCAGCCTCTTGAGGAGCTGCGCCCTTTGCTCGTACTCCTGCTCCTTGGACGAAAAAATACTGATGCCCCCGCCCTGAGCGATCGACACTCGATTCATCAAGTCCCTGAAGGTGGTGTTGTCATGGGTCATGAGATTATCAATGATAGTCCTCCAATAGGGCAGACAGGCGGCTGTCATCTGGAAGAATGCGGGATCCAGGAGAAGATCAAGAACATCTTTTCTCCAGGCTTTTCTCGTGTACTGATACCCCGACAGAGAGCTCAGCAGTTGAGAGCACGCGATGAAGGACGATATGTTCTTGATGGTGTGATTCTTCAGATAAGGAGTGACATTGTACATTAAATTCGTCAGTAGTGTCACCACCCTCTCCTTCTCCTGGGACCCATAGCTGACGTCCAGGAGAGGAGCTAGAATTTCGGCTAGAACCCCTTGTGCCTGAACACTGAACGCAGAATTCGGTGGTGTCCCAGGCACAGTACTGCCCTCAGAGCTCCCCTCATCATGCACATCCTCTCGAACAGCCAGATTTCGTCGTAACCAGGTTGTCTGCTCGAGACAGGCCCCAGCAATCTGCGAGCAAGACTCAACAAGTTTAGCTGATATGTCCTGCAGCTCCCTGATGTCCTTCTTCTCGTGCATCGGTGGGCACTTCTGAATGTACTCATTCAAAATGGCTAGAAGAAGAAACTGGGCAGGTGCAGTGAGGGATAAACCGTCCTTGAGAAGCCCCAGGAGAGACCCCCAGGACTCGGACAACGACTGATTGGAGTTGCTCTGCATGTAAACGTACAGCAGTTCGAGGACAGAAACCTCGAGGGAGAAGTCCTGCTTGACACCGTGGATGGGAGGTGGTGTCTTTATGACTTGATTGACTGTCTGGACTAGGGTGTCAATTGGCATGACTCTTATGGCACTCACGAGGTCCACCATGACTTGCTGATTGGGACAGGCTTCAGGGAGAACTCTCTTGCCATTGGAGCTGGGTCCCCTCCTCTCGTGCCAAGCCACTGCGATAGCTGCGAGAAAATTGACACCGTGGTGGAAGGAAATGGGGGAGAGGAGCTCCAGCAACTGGTGCTTGACGACCCTGGGACTGCCCACCACACAGCTGGCTTGCTCGTTATCTTTAGTTGCTAGTACCGCCTGCCAGAGGGCAGCCAACGAGGCGATTATCCTGGGAAGATGACTCAGAGCTGTTCTTCTTGCGTGCAGATGCTGCTCACTGGGTTTGTCCTTGGGATTGGACTCGTTGCCGAGGGGTGTCGGTGTGAATACGTGAATGAGGTTGTTGAATATCTGACTGGGGTTGGCACCGGGCACACCAGCCTGGAGGGCTCCACTGAAAGGTGGGTTGAAGGAGAAGCTGATTTGCTGGGAACTGTCTAGAAGGCAGTACTGCAGGAGAAAGGTTAAAGCCTCTAGGTGCGTCACTGTGTAGTCCGCAGGGAGACAGCACTCAACTGAGCTCAGATCAATCAATTTACCCCCTGGAACCCCCTCCTGGGGCACGTAATACGAGGCGAGATGCTCGATATTACAGCACAACTGATGAATTACTGAAGTCACAACTTGGGTGAGTGAGGCCCCCATGTAGGGAAGACTCGAGGTAACTGAATTGGTCCAGTGCTGGTGGAGATGTCTCATGTGATCCAGCTGCAAGGCACTCAGGATGCTAGCCAGGAACATGGGTTGCTGGGGAATTGGAGCCCCTGGAATGTACTCCAGGGAACTTCCCGATAAATTTGGGGCTGATTTCGTCGGGGTACAGGGGGCCTGCGGCGTCTGGGGCACGTCGTCACCCTTCTGCGCAGTGCACTGGTACTCGAGCATCGTCAGACTCAATACTAATCTCAAGAGTTGAATCTGAAAGGCTTCGGTGTGATCAGAACTACGGAATTTGCACTTGTTGACGTCTGTCTCTGAGACGGGATCGTTGAACATGACAATCTCCTCGGTGAAGGTGAAGAGTTCGTCGCTCTCCTTTTGCGTGTTCTTCATGTTGAGGACGGAGGAGACTAGGCAGTGGAGGGCAATCTTCTGGACCTTGCACTTTGTCAGGAGGTCGATTATGTAGCAGCTGAAGCCCTTACCCGATTCTCGGACTATTGATATCAACTCGGAGAATATCAGGGTCAGGAGTTCAGCACTTGCCAGCTGCACCTGACGATTACCCGCTATTTCCTCCTGTGTCAGTCGCATCTGTCCGAGATTAGGGTAGTAGCTTCTTATCAGATAAAGACAAACGATTATCAGTACCTCCAGGTACATCGAGCTTCGGTACGTCGCCAGGAACTTTGTGCTTGCCACGTCCCCATAAAATCCCCTTCCCAAGACACTCTTTCTGTGTCTCGCCAGGAGATTCAGCAGAGGCGTCGCTTTCGATGCATTGGAGATGCCTGTCGTTGCTGATGCGAAGAGGAACATCCGGGTGTTGGTCACCAATTCACTGCGCAATGTTCTCAAAGCGTACAGTGTTCTCGTTGAGTCGTAGACGCCGCAGTAAAGAAGCATGTGCGAGTGGAGGTTGTGGACGCCAACACCAGAGGCGCGTCGGTGCCCATTGTCCAATTGAACGGACTCGTCGGACGCTTTTGTCGGCTCCATGTACTCACACATCTCAAGGACCTTGTCGACTACCTCGTTGAGGACCTCCTCGACGACGCTTATGCCACTGGAGTTGGAAAAGTACTCCTCAGCGGTGGTGCTGACGTCAAGCTCACCGTCCTCGTCGCCCATCGTCCAACTGGGGACACCTATGTTGTTCTCGTAGGTCGACAGCGAGTCGTGGAGATCGTAGTTCGTGGAGAACTCATTCGTACTCAAGTACTTGCCCTTGAGCAGGGTTCCTGCCACCTCTCTCGCACTTCCTGAGAGGATGGCCAGGGGTTCTCTCTTGGATTTCTGCTTACCACTGTCGACGCTGTTCGACTCTAAACTGTTGGATATCGAGTCTAGGGATGAGCCCAGCTCTTTGGAGACCTTCTTCAGATTGGTCTTGTCTCTTCCCTTGGAGGTGGAGCCCGCGGTCTCGAAGAGGCTGTCGTCGAAGCTACCCGAGGACCTGTTCTCCAGGGGCTTCTTGAATCTCGTGGCGTTCTTGAAAAGCTCCACGGGAATTGCCGACTTTCTCGTCTCCTCGTCGTTCAGGGAATCGAGGGAATTTGTGGTGCAGTTGACGGACAGGGGATTCACGAAAACCGAGATGTTCTTGTTCTCGGATATGCTTGGAGGCACTTCCAACTCCTTCATGAATTGATTTCTCTCTGTTACGTACTGGTTTCCCTTGTCGGTGTTGGCTAGTGTCGTCACCGCAAAGATCCTCTTGACTTTCACCGGGTTTATAGCCTTCTTCTTCTTTCTTCTCTTCGTCTTTTTGTCGTCCTCATTGGAGTCTGAGACGTGATAGATGACGTTACCGTCGACAGAGCTGATGGCGTAGATCTTCGCAGCCCCTTCGGAGTCGTCCTGCACCTCTGATTTCTCCTCGACGTCGTTCTTCGTGAAGACGGTGTTGCTGTGCTGAATGCTGACGTGAAGAACACTCATTCTGGAGGTGGAGGGGTCCAGCAGCATCATGAGAACTGGATCAACGACCCTGGCGATGTCCCCCCTGACGAGGGAGTGCAGCAGCCAGGATTGGGCATGAAGTTTGAGGGGAGAATTGTCAGACAATTGAAGATTATCCAGCATCTTCAAGAGGCTTTTGTCGAAGCTCTTCGAGGATCTCCTCAGCCTCGAAGTGATCTCGATCTCTCGCCCCAGGTGCCACAGGGTGGAGAACCTTTTGAAGGCCTCTATCTTCCTCTCTTGATTATTGAATGTCAAAGCAGAGCCAATGACATCCTCAACGGCGTCACACGTCTGGTGGATGGAGTTGTGGAGCTCGTGGAGGAGCTCCACACACCTCAGACGGTATTTGTGAGCTGGCAGCTCGCCCAGGTGATGCCAGAGGGAGTGGGCCAGTGCATGGAAGACATTTGTGTACTCAGTCAAATAAGAAATGTGCCATTTCTTGAGGAGAGGGACCATTATAACTGGGGTGACACCTTCTCCTGAGGTCGAGGGAGAGGACAGGTCACTCTGGGCTGCTGACAAGGCTATCAGGTCAAGCAGGGTTGATATGCTGATCAGCTGGAGGGAAGGCTGTCTTCCAAGCCAGCAGGCACAGACAGTGAGCACCTGCAGCCACCCTGGGAGGCTCTGCTTGATGGGCTCCTCCTCCTGGAGGACGTCCCCAGGTTCGTAGTACGTTGGGAAAGTTGATAACTCCACTAACAACGAAGAGGAGATCCTCAGGATGTCCTCCCAGCTGTCCTGGTCCACCGACGTCAGATGATAGTTGTATTTTGGCTCTTCCTCCAGGTCCACTGGCGACAAATCCTTGTAGGTGATCCCGTCATCTTCACGAGCCAGCCTCGACGACAGAATCATCTCCAAGTGGCGTGAACGTTCGTCGTAATCCTTGGGGGTGGAGACTATCAACTCCTCGAACATGTCAGAGACCCTTCGCTCAGAACCGAGGATCCTCTCGCTGATGAGTTTCACGTAGAATTGTTCGAAGGTCTTGAGACATTTCTCCAGCATCGTGTGCTGGGCGTGGAGACCTGGGGATGGAGATCTCGTGATGGAGGTGTCCACGTCGTTTGGCTTGAGCTCATCGTAAGTAATCGACGAATCGTCCAGGGCTTTCAGCTTGGATTCATCAGTTATGATCACAGATATGTTTGTCACGTCCTCTGGTCCCATTTCACTGAGCTTCGAGACACTTTTGCTAGACTTTTTACGAGATTTCTTCTCGCGTTTGGGAGCACCTCCGGAGTTCGCTCGCCTCCGAGGACTGGGAGTGCGTTCAGGGAATGACGGGGTTTTCTGTTTGTTTAGTTTAGAGTCTGATTGACTCTTCTCCAGGGGAATCGCGGTGAGAGCGTCCTGGGAGGGCTGACACTCCTGTTTTATCTCCTCTTGTTTTTCTGATTGTGGAACTGTGATTATTGGCTGCACTTTAGACAGAATTTTCCTGCACAAGGAGAGACTTCTCCCTATCTCCTGTGGTGTGAATACGTGTAATCTTGACGACAATTTATTTATTATCCCGTGAAACATCTCGGGGAGGTGCTCGGAAGGGGTGTCTATGAAGGCATCCACCGAGACTGTCTCCAGCAAGAATTCTGTCAGGTGGCAGACCTCCAGGAGTCCAGGCATCCCCGAGGATACTGGCTTCACCCCGTCGCCTTCAGGGGGTTTTGATCCTTTTTCCTTCGTGTCGCAAGCCTGATCGAAGAGGTAGCCACAGTGCACCCAGACGTAGGAGGGCTCCAGCGTCGAGAACAAGAGGTTTGCAGACTTGACGACTTCGTGGGACTTGAGGGGTTTCTCCAGGGATTGAGAGCACGCGTTGTAGAAGGTCCTGAAGACCTCGTAGAGAATGTCGTCTAGGATCACAGGGCCAATGTCAGGCTTGTCTAGGAGGGAGACCAGGATTCTGTAGGGCTTCAAGTCCAGGGGGTGGTCCTCGCAGACCTGTTTCAGGGTGTTTTTGATGGCCTCGATCAGCATCTTCTTGGAGAAGGTGTCGAAGTACGAGGCTGCTGATGCCACCTCCTCGGGTTCCAGTTTCTTCTTGAGAATTGAATTGCTGACTTCGGTTCCCAGTAGCCAAGCGAATAGTCTTCGGTTCAGGCTCATGTCTCTTCGGAGGATTGTCGTGAGGGCTGAGGTCAGCAGGATCACCATGTCCTGGTGGTTAAGCTGGCTGTTGTGGACGGGAAAACCTATCAGGAGGAGGTCCAGGGCACTTCGTTGAACGAGGACTGAACTGTCTTGGACGCCTGCACACAGGGCTGAGACCATTATGTCGGGGTTGGTGCCCATTATGAAGAGCTGGTCGTCCATCGGGAGCTTCTTGTTGAAGTGCGAGAGGACGAAGGAGATGGCGGGGAGACGGATGCCTGAGTTGGACGCCAGGCAGTCCCAGAGGCAGGCGTAGAAGTGCGGGGGACCCACCCCCTCGCAGACCTTCTCCAGGAGGGAGTTGGTGCGGTCGAAGTGGTCTGAACCTTCCTCGAGACCTGGGAGGACTCCTGAGAGGAAGCCAGAGAGACCTGGAAGGAAACAGGGCTTCAGTTCTTGGGCGGGGAACTGCTGTACGAGGAAATTATCAGACTTTGGCGTAATTATTAACTTTGAATAAGCTAATTTTTAATATTACTCAAGAATTTTTTAATTATTAAATTAAGCCTCAATTAAATCCTGAATCAAATTCCGAATTGCGAATTCAGATTCCGAATTATTTACTCAACAGTTAATTAACAATTCCATATGATCAATTATTTAATTCAGATTCAATTGAAAAGTGTGAATTATTAATTATTTTATCATTTTTGAAATTTCAATGAAGATAAGTAAATTTTAATTATTGAAAGGTGCAATTGACTATTAAACGATTAATTTTTCATTTGTGAATTTGTTTCTTTAATTATTCAAATAATCGTCAATCTTTCAAAGTGAATTAGTGATTTATAACATATTTAAGAATTCGAAATATTTATTTGATGATTAATGAGTTTTATTAACGCCTCTCTCTGCTGCAAAATTATAAAATTTGAATGAATTGTCTCATTTTGAAAAATGCAGACGAATTTTGGCAATTAAAATACGATTGACGAATATTAACAGTTATATTCGGGTTATTTTATCATATTTTCGTTCAAGTGGAATTATTAAATTTTGGATTAAAGTCAAAAAATATTTCTTTTTGGCTCATAAAATTTATATTTTTTGACATTTTTTCCTAGAACCTTTTTCACTCTATCGTCAAATTATGAAATGAACAATTTCTCTTATATCTTTGATTCAATTACACAATTTCGATGAATTTCCCTCTGCCAACATCAACCTTTAATTAATTTCTCATTCAGTAAAATTACACTTTTTTATTACTTTCCTAATTAATTAAATAGAATGAACAAATCAATCAATCCCAACAGTAATTACAATTCATCAGTTATCGATTAATATCAATATCAATAATCAATAACTAATGAATTATCATTCAATGATAACAGTAATTTAAAAAACTAAAGAATGATGGAGAGATTGAATAAAAATAATCACCTGGACGAAGACGTTCCCCCAAAGGAACAAAATGTGTCTCGTAAACAGTGAGTAGAGTGGGACGAACGTTCATCGCGGCATGCCCTAGCAGAGGGAAGAGCCCTGCGCTGTAGATGAAGAGCTCGTGGGAGAGACGATTGGTCCCCATGCACTTGAAGATGACGTCGTACGTCTCCAGGGCCTTCAGGTGGACCCCTGAAGGGAGGGCTGGGTGCATGCATTGCGCTAGGCGTTTTGAGATCTTTATCCGGCGGGGAATCACTGGGAATTTCAAGTTACTTAAGAGGACTTTGTTCAGCTTCCCGAGGGCCGATATTAGGTCCGCCCACTCGCTCGTGTACTCGAAGTTCTTGAGGGCCTTGTCCACTGATGACACGTAACTGGAGAAAATTTTGCTGATAAGTTTTCAGGGGTGAGGGAACGGGAAGATCTTGGGGGAAATTATATTGTTTAATCGTTGAAATTGAAGAATTGTTGATTCGTTTTATTGGACAGGGCACTATCATATATATTTTTGCTCATGAAATAATTGAATTAAGCATGAAAAACTTGAAATAAATTCATGAAGATTTTTTAGAGGAGAGGAGAATTACAGAAATCATTACACGAATAAAATAATTTAGTTTAACGTGGAGATTATTATTATTAGTTTAGAGTTTGGTGACTGAAGAAATTTAATTGATTAATCGTTAAAATTGAAGAATTGTTGATTGTTTTTTTTTTTGAGGCATGAGGCAAACAAAATTTTATAAAAACATTTTTTTCATGAAAAAATCATGAAAAAAATCGTGAAATTTATAAGGAAAAAAACTCTTAAAGAGAAAAATATTTGGAAACAAATTCAATAAATCAAATTGACCAGTCGTTTAATGTATTATTATCTCGATGAGTCGATTAGAAAGTTTTGTAGATAAAAGATCTTAAATTTCCTGGTAAAATGCCTCATTATCGAGATTTTTTCGTGTTTAAAAGGATGAGAAAAATTCAATTGTTCTGTTTTGCTCGGTGGGTTTTTATTATTCATTATTTGTTGGGGTACTCACACTCGATATTTCGAGTCCTTCATCAACTCATACTCCTCCAGTGCTATCGACCCCATGATTCCACTTTTCTCCTTCAGATTTGAAGGGATTTGGATCTCAAATAACGTTTTTCAGGATTGAAAACCACAAGTTTCCGGCATTACTCGGTGACACATCTGGTTCTGACGTTCTATCACTTTGAAAGACCATCAAATATAAAGTTATAGCATTTTCACATGGGGAAACATTATTAATTATCTCAAGTTGAAGAAAAAATCGTTTTAAAAGTGAATGGAAAATCCTAAACCATCAAAAATAATCATTTTGGATCATCAACATCATTAGCGACTGATTTTAATAATCAAGAAAAATATTTTGGAAAAAAAAATGTTTTTTGCCATTTTTTGCTAAACTTCTAGGTCCACTTCCAAAAAACGAAAAACTCCAAAAAATTCGTGTACTGAATTTTCCAGATATCTCAAAAACCATTGAGTTTATAAAAAAATATCAAAAAATCATTTTTACACAGAATTAAATTTTCCACAAAAAACCCTTCTGAAATTTCCGCCTAAACCCACGTGATACCGAGATAATTCACCCCCTAAAGCATCGACATCAGTACGTCAATAATGTCGTTTCACTCCGGAACTGCTCCAATACCTTTCCTCCAAGAAAATCTCTCACAACTACACTATTTACCTCAACTTATGACCCTGAACTTCTCCAGAAGCTCTAAATCCCCAAAAACACAGAAGAAACCTAAAAAATTCCTTCACGAAATTACGAAAATTAACAATTCCAAAGTTTCCATTTTTGTTGATTATTTATAAAGCCATTATAGATCATCTGATCCATTAAATAATATCAAAAACCTGAAACTGTAGAGAACTCAATTTTTACAAAAGAAAAAATCTTTCTGCCATTTTCTTCTACATTTGCAAAAAAAATTAAAAATTCCAAAAAGTGCGTCCACCGAATTTTCCAGATATCTCGAAAACCACTGAGTTTATAAAAAAATATCAGAAGATCATATTTACACAGAATTAAATTTCCCACAAAAAATCTTTGTGACGTTTTCCCCCAAACCCACGTGCTACCGAGATAAATACCCCCTAAACCGTCGACATCAGCACGTCAAAAATGACGTTTCACTCCGGAACTGCTACAATAACTTTACTCCACGGAAGTCCCCCACAATTGCACTATTTTCCTCAACTTCTGACCCTGAAGTCCTCCAGAGACTCTAAATCTTCAAGAATACAAAAAAAGAAACATAAATTCCTCTGGTCAAAGACGACAGATTGAAAACCTATAATCTACATATCACTCGACAAATCACCAACCGAATAATCTCCGCGAACGATTGTCCAGATATCTCCATTGTCCTATCATAATTCTACCCAAAATAATATCTCCAGACATGAGTCAACCGAGATAAACTCTACCTCAGTCCCATTCTCACTTGGGATAAACGTTAAATCTCATTTCTTTGATGTCATTAATGTTATACTGCACCTGACAGAGATGAGTGGCATCGTTGCACAGTGTTAATCAATCACTAAGGTCAAACGATTCACCACGAGACCGACAACATATTTTATCATTCGGTTTTTCCTCAGCTGGCTTCTCAGGTTTTATGTACAACCGAGTATATTATGTACCTGATATTTACAATTGTTATATCGGAGTGGAACTAACGACGTGTCTTCGGGAGAGGGTTTGGTTGGGTTCTCTAGGGTACGGAGCCAACGGAAGAGGTCACTGGGTGGAAGTTCTGGGGGGAAATGACAATTTTTTTAAATAGGAATGGATTTTTTCATTTTTTTTCTTTTTTATAAAAACGTGAAAATTGCATTTTTGGGATAGTTCCTGATCAAATGAAGCGATTTTCATGAATTTTTAGTCGTTTTGAAGAGCAGGAGTCTTAAAAATATACGACGGATGTTCACCCCGTGCAAAATTGGCTTTCGATGAAAAAGTGATATTTTTTAAAAATTGACATTTTCCAAGAATATAAAAAGAGTTTTATTGGTTTTCGTTCTGTTACAAAAGTATAAAATTATTATTTATTTGATGTCTTCTGATCAGATAATACAGAGTTAATAAACACTTGGAAATGTGAGAAAATTGTCGATTCTCAGGCTGCAAATGTCCACATATTAATTACTAAAATCAAGTTATTTTACCTCATTTTCATGTGAATGAAATTAAATGTCTGTCTTTCGTAATTATTTCGAAAACCATCAAGTTCACGAGAAGACGTCTGAATATTTTATTTGTAGAGTACAAAATTTTCACCAAAAAATGTCTTTCCATTTTCCTTGAATGCCTTCAACCTGCAAATACTCGATGAATGTCAAAGATATGAAAACACCCCATGCTCCGTATAAAAAACATAAAACTAAAAAAAAACGAACAAATCTTAAACTCAAAATCAAAACATGAAACTAAATCACCAGGAACTTCAGTCCATGTCCATATTTTTCAAAACACTTAGGACACATCTCGTTGTTCTCCCTCTGACAGAATAGAAACATTATACTCGTAACATCATATTTGTCTGCAAATGTCTACATACTAACTTCTAAAATCAAGTTATTTTACCCCATTTTCATGTCAATGAAATTAAAAGTCCTCATTCGTAATTATTTAAAAAATCATCAAGTTCAAGAGAAGACGTCTGACGAGTTAATTTCTAAAGTACAAAATTCTCTCCAAAAAATGTCTTTACATTTTCCTTGAATACCTGCAAATACTCGATGAATGTCAAAGATACGAAACCCCCATGCTCCGTATAAAAAACACAAAACTAAACAAAAAAAACGAACAAATCATAAACTCAAAATCAAAACATTAAACTAAATCACCAGGAATTCTCCTTCTGACAAAATAGAAACATTATACTTGTAACATCATGCAAATATCATTTGCAAATGTCTACATATTAACTATCAAAGTCGAGTTATTTTACCCTATTTTCGTGTCAATGAAATTAAAAGTCCTCTTTCGTAATTATTTCAAAAAATCATCAAGTTCGCGAGAAGACGTCTGAAGATTTTATTTCTAGATTACAAAATTCTTCCGAAAAAATGTCTTTACATTTTCCTTGAATGCCTTCAACCTGCAAATACTCGATGAATGTCAAAGATACGAAACCCCCATGCTCCGTATAAAAAACACAAAACTAAACAAAAAAACGAATAAATCTCAAACTAAATATCAAAACATGAAACTAAATCGGCAGGAGCTCCATGAGATGGTCATGCCCATATTTTCCAAAGCACTCAGGACACATTTCATTACTCCCCTTCTTACAGACAAAGCAGTGGTATCTCCCCCCATCGAGAATAGAAACATTACACTTGTAGCAACATATCATTGAATTTCTCCGCTTCCCCTGCCGCGACCTCAGCGATTTATCGGGACTGATGAATCGACGTGTGCGAAATTTCTTTCGAGCGCTCCTCCTCAGGGGAGTGCCAGTGGCATCACTAGCCCCCTGATCATCCTCCGAGGAGCTAGCTCTCGACGAAGAATTGCTGACAGCTGTCCCCAGACCTTCATTCCCAGAAAGTTCAACTGATTCATTCCTCTTCCTCTTCAATTTCCCTTGTCTGGCGAGTCTGATCCTTTTGCTTCGCCTCTGTGGAATGTTGGTGGCATCGTCAGACGCCTCAGCATCCCCTGGAGAATCCTCCGACACAGGACTGCTGAGGGCGGTCTGCAGGTCGGGTGGAGCCAGACCATTGCTAGAGTCATCCTGCAGGGATGCATCAGGCCACCTCATGCCCTTGAACCTCCTGACATGATCCTTCGCGTCCCTCAGGTCCTTCAGGATGTCCTGGGCCAGGAGCACTGGAGGATCCTCGTTGGATCCCTCGAAGACCTTCTGCGTCTTCGTCTCCACCTTCTCCAGGCAATCTCTCGCTGCATATAATTCCTTCAGCTGTTCCCGAACAGTTTTACCTTCTCCTGGGGCAGAGGTTTGAGGAGTCGTCGAGGCTTCAGGGAGAGAAGCCTCATCTTCAACGGGTTCAGGGCTGATGATCTCTCTAGCAGCAGAAACATCCACTGCACTGAGCTCAGGGGTTTCAACCACTTCTGCACCTGCTGGAGGATCATCACTGGGTTTTCCATTCATTTTAACAGAAACTTCTGTTTCAACTTCTTCAGAATCATCAATACCCCTCGGACTGCTGGAGCCCTCGTTCACTCTATCCAACTCCAATTCAGCTTTCAATTCTCTCATGATATTCAGGTGCATTTCATCAGCATAATTCTCCCTCCCCTTCGCCATCGAACCATCAACTCCAGGAGGATTGATTGATTTCTTTTTAGGCGCATCAACTCTCAGATTTCCATTCATTCTCATTTTACCATCAGCCCCTTGACCACCTCCAGACCCTCGAGCCTCTCCTGGAGATGTTTCTCCATCAGAGCCTCCAGGGTTTCCCTCGTCATCAGAGAACTCCGCATCAACTTCCCCAAGCTTCTCCATCTCGAGCCAATCGTCGAAGGAAATTCCACACTTGACTCCATAAACCCTCAATTTTTCCTTCTCTGCATTCACCTCCTCCTGCAGCCTCTTCAATCTCAGGAGATTGTCCTCGTGCTCGTTGAAGGACTTCCTCGTGTGTCGATTCAATATTCCACCCATGTCGTTCTTCACCTTCAGCCCCACGTACCGCCTCTCCACAGCCCCCAGTTTTCTGTCTGCTTCTGAATTATTACGAAGGGCTGACGCCAATTGGGCTTTAGCTTCGTTCAATAGTCTAGTGAGGCCCACTGTCCTCCTCTCCTCCTCCTTTCTCCCTCGAGTGGCCTTCAGCAGGGGAATCCCAGGATCAACGTCCTCAGGTATTTTTATCCTCAATTCTGTGGGCAGATTGGACATGCTCTCAAACTCAATCTCGTCGTCAGCCAGTTCCAGCTCTGTCGAGGCCTTGTCCTCCTGGAGATATTCGAAGATGCTCTTCATCTGGTCAATGGCGAAGTGGTGCATCTTGAGGACCTGAGGATCAGCCTCAGGGTGGGATATAGCCTCCAGCTTCTTCACAATGCACCTGTCGACTTTGTCCATCATTGAGGTGTAGTTGTTGATGATTGTTCTGTTGATTTCGATTTTTGTTCTGAGGTTGATGCATCCGTAGGCTGACAGCTCGTGCTTGAAGGAGGTGATGAGCTCCTCTGCCTGCTCACCAGTCAGGTCGTCGCACTCGGAGATGTCTTCAGCTCCCTCGGTGGTCATTCTTTTCAGGGTCATGGAGAATTGGGGGGGATTGATGGTTCTGACTTTTGTGAGGATCTCTGTGTGGATTGCGGTGAGGTGCAGGGCTGCGTGGGTGTCCTTGTACATTCCTGGGTCGGGGTTCACGTGGGTGATGAGGGAGAAGGGGGAGGAGCCTGTGAGGGCGGCTTGGAAGAGGCTGGTGAGCATGGAGGGGGTGAATTCTTCGGGGGATTTGGGGGAGGGGTGCAGGTGGGTGTTGTAGTAGCCTCGGAGGGACTTGACCAGCGCCAGGAGACTCGTGTCCAGGGCCGGGGACTCCTGGTGGGCTGCCAGGTCGCAGAATGAGAACCTGAAGGGAGTTTCAGTGGGGGAGTTTAGATGGTCAAGTTTTTGGATTATTCTTAGGTTGGGAGTAGAGGGAATTTAATTCAGTAGCGAAGTGGTAAAACGGTTCAAGTCGACTTATCTCTTAGTTGGGTTTTTGAAGAATATCTCCGAATTTAAAGGAGATAATGAAATTTTCGTAATAACCTTTTTTCTAGAGCAAATTGAGTGCTACAAAAAAGGTTCTGACAAAAATTTAGCTATCTCCCTTCGATTCCGTGATATTCACTAAAAACTGGTCAATAGTCAAAATCGACTTAAACCGGTTTACCAATTCGTTACTGAATTCAAAATGATGATTTTGTTTGGGAATTTAATTCAAAGTGATGCGAATGATCTTTAAAGTAGTTTGAATAAACTTCAGTTGAGTCGTTGAGTATAACGAGGGAAAATGAATTTAAAAAAATTTTAAAACAATTATTTATCGTTAATAATTTTGCCCATGGATTTTAATTTTGATGAGTGTAAGATATTGATCAATCAAATTTTTTCTTCATTCATTTTTTTAAACAATTGTCAATTATCAATAATTATTCCATAATATTTCCATTCACATTACCTTTCCTTTTGATTTTACTTCCCATTTTAATCTTCAAAATTCAAGTTACTTGACACTACCTTGAAAATCGAAAAACAATTAAATTACGTGAAAAACGTATAAAAGAATAACTTGGAGGCCTCACCTGCTCATCTTCACCCTCTTCGGTTGATTGATCTCCTCATACTTCAACAGAGTAATATTGAAAATGCAGTGGGAGCTCGAGGAGTTTGTGCTCATCCTAGAATTAATTTTCTTGAGATTATTCCGGCCAATTGCGAGGACATCCCGAGCCTCAGCGACAGATCCCACGTGCAGCTGGGTCGCACCCTCGACGAGTACTTGTCCTCTGGGATTGGTATGGTACAGCAGGGGAGAATGGCTCGTCTGATAGTCGGGTGACAGCAGATCGTAGTATTGTTCTTCTCGAATTTCCAGGTACGACAGCCAAATCTCGTGCTGCGGTCCCATTCTGATGCCTGCAGGGAACACCCAGCTCTCCTCGATTGTCCTCAAGACCTTTGTGTACGGCTTCACGTGCTCGCCATACAGGGGCGACAGAATTCGCTTCTTAATCTCTTTTTCTGAACTTCTCCTTTCAGAATTCAAAGCTTCAACTTTGTTGCTGTCTGTGGGCTTGTAATTGGGGGTGGATGTAACCTCTTCCTGGGAGAAAATCATCTCCAACGTTCTCAGGATTAATCCTGGGTCAGGGGGGGACCCCTCGAGGGTGTGAGACTTTCCTGATTTTGTAGAACCTTGTGAGAAAACAAAGAGATGGAGCCAAATTAGCGACGGAGTTAAATTGATTAACTTCTGCTTCAAACATTTTCTATTACCAAATTTATCTTAAATAATATATTAAATCGCGCGAGAAAATTTTGAAAAAAATCGTGAATATTCAGCGCCATTGAAATTACATTTTGCACAGAATTATTAGTTTTTTTAAACATTCGTTGTTTAAAGAGAAGTAATTTCAATTGTTTAAATGAATTAATGAATTTGTTATGATTCAAAACGAATGATTTTTATGGGGGAAAATTTATTGTTTATAAATTATTTACAGAAAATGTTGGTAATTTAAAAAATTGCAATTTTTAATTCTTTCATCAATCTTTATCCAAAAGTTAAAAAAAAACCTGCAAATTCTCTTTACAATTATTCTCTTGAACAATAGGTGTTCGTTTGCCTAGGGCATCCTCTCCATTCGGGATACCCAGAAACAAATTACTTCTCACAAAAATTTGATAATGACAATTTTTATATTAGGCATAAAATTTTTATTCATTTTTTTCTGATTTTTTAAGATTTTTTCTACATTTTAATCTTGTCTTTAATTTCGGTAAATTAATTTTCTCATAAGACTGTTATTTTCGCACTTCTATTCAATTGAGCACGAACCCAACCACAATGTTTTTAGTCACATCAACTTTCGTTGAGAATTTATTTCAGATTTTCGTCTTCAAAATTTAAGTTATGCACATACTTTTTTAAGTTGATTTATCTCCGAATCTAAGGGAGATAGCAAAATTTTCATAGGGACCTTTTTTATAGCTCTCAATTTGCTCTATAAAAAAGGTCCTTACAATAACTTCGCTGTCGCCCTTAGATTCCGAGATATTCATCGAAAACTGGGCAATAGCCGAAATCGACTTGAACAATTTTGTTTCGCGAGGATTATTTAGAGAATAATTTCAAGAGAACTCTGTAGTTTACCAAGTTCTCCACGGAAACGATCTCCTGGCATTATTTGCTCTACCTTCCTCTCGAAGGTGTTTTAATAATTCTTGAAATTAATTTTCTCACCGTAAGCCATGACAGTTGCATTCTCCCCAGCTAGGAGATTGACCACCTGTGGCTTCACCACTCGTTCAAAAATATCTTTCTGCGTGGCACCAGCACCAAAAGCCCCGTGGAACAGGAACCTCTTCCCCACGACGTCCACATTTTTGCTCATATCCTGGTGGGCGTCTGCCAAATCCACGACAATGGCAGGATTTGCGATTTGAAAGAGCTTCAACTGCGAGGGGATGAGTTTCAGACCCTTGGGAGGGGGTTTGAGCTTAACGTAGACCTTGAAATTACTGTCTGAGGACACTCCATCACCCCCAGAGTCTGAACTCGTGCCCTTGCTCCTGTGGGATAGCCCTGATCTCTCTCGAGATTGATGAGACGTGCACAGGGAATTCCCGGACACTGGACTAAACCGCAAATTTCCGTTCACTGTTGGGCAGTTTGAGGAGTCTAGGGAAGGTTCTTTTCCCGTTCCTGACGACTCCTGAACATTTTTTTGGCATTAACTTCGCGTTCTTATTCGTCTCGGAGAGAATTATTTTCTCGTGGCTTACTTAATGTCTAATTATCTCGATTAAGAGGGGTTCTAGGAGAAAATGTCATACAATCTTCTTTAAAGGTGATAAAATTTCCAAGAAAAAAGGTTTTGTGACATTTTTCCTTAAAATAACTCGTCACTGAGATAAATGCCCGATTAATGAAAATAATGGGAAATTGATTCAATGAGAAAAAAGGCTCAATGTAAATCATCGATATCTCCTAAACCAACGATGCAATTTGCACGAGTCGAGTCTCATTTCAAAGCTTGAAAAAATATCTTGAAAATGATAAAAAAGTCGTTGAATTTCACTCTGCCGATCCCGAGTTATTAAGGATGAGGTAATTATGAGTTTTTTCATAGGTTCCAAATCTCATTCTATCACTTTCTCAATCATTTCGATCATAAATAACGATTTCTCACCTTCCGGGGAGTACTGAAAATCCCATTCCACATCTTGAATCAATTTTTTCGCACAGAAAATAGTCAAAAATAGTTCGATGCTCAGATACTATATTTTCTCGGCGGATTCTTTGTTCTAACTGGGGACTGAGGAACGAGACGACGATACTAGGAACTCCGATCTTCCGCTCAACCGTCGCCGGTGTCGGTGTTTGTTTACACTCTCCCCACTCTCGCGCGCATGAAGTGGAAAACATCCAATAATGATCTTACTCTAGAAAAAAAAGTTTGCGTGAACTTTTCTCTTCATTCGGATTTTTTTTGTAACAAAACCTTCGTTAAAAAGCGGAATGTTACGATTAGATCGACGAGATTTGAAACTATCGCTCGAAAATATTCAACGGATGGTAAGAGAGAGAGAGAGAAGTAATCACCCGGAACATGGAGAACAAGGACAACTGATCCCCGGAATTCCTTAGGGAGGTTCATCCGTTTTCGAACAATTAATTTATTTTTGCAGTTTCGAGAAAAATTGAATTATTTTCCAATTTAGCGTGAACTTATTGTGACAAAATTTTTTTTTTTATTTCTGCATTTTTGGGGCAAGTGAGGGTCACAGTGGCATTAGGCGGGCCAGACAATACAGAATCGGCGGAAAAATTCGATTTTGGCGAAAGTCGACTTTCCCCCCCAAAAAAGCCTAAATATGGCA